TATGAACTGTTGAAAATCCCCTAAATTCAACATAACAACCCTTTATAAACATCATGCTGGGTGTGTTTTTTTATTATTTGAAAAACCCAATTGAAAAATACCAATCAAAGATAGTTAGCCTCAACTTAATTTGGTAGCTCCCTCTTATGACCTAAATACTGCCTAACTTCATAAAATCCTTCAAAATTCCTCGAGTATACAATGATTATTTAATTGATTACTCTAAATCTGCTACATGTGATCTCATTTCAAAAGATCCATTATCAATTATTTGATCCACCCCCTAGTAAAATCTCTCTCCCCTTCTATTCTGGAGTTTTACCTCTACCAGCTATTTCGCCTAGTGGCCATTAAATACTCTGCTCTCGTCTGTTCCTTTTCTTACTCTGTTAGTCTCTGCTTTTCAAGCTCCAGAAACTGTTGTCTGTCTCTCAGCCTGCTTGTTTTTCAAACCTAAACAGTTTCCTTCTCTCTATTTCTTTTATTCTCTCCCTCTCTAACTTCCTCTGTCTCTCTAAGTCTGTCTCTGCCTCTCCTTTTTCCCGCCAACCAGAGCCACAAATCATTCTCCTTGTCCTCAACTCAACCCTCACAGCTCTATCGCTACTTCAGTTCGCCATCCAATTTCTTCAACTGTTCTCTCTGATTCGGCCCCAATCAATAAAACAAATGCTTTATATCGTTGATCAGCATACATGACATTCCTACCATCTGAACTTATTTACTGTCTCTCCCCCCCCCCCCCCCCCCCCCTCTCCTGCTCCTTCCTACATTATGGGGGAGGCGCGGGAAACTTCCCTACAATCTTCCTTCTTAGGAAATAATGTCATTCGTACTTATAACATATTTTCATAGACATATCTAGAATATTACTAAAGCTATCTAATGCAACTTTTAATACACGTAAAAAAACTCTCTCTCCCTACACCCATTCCCCATTGAATAAGTGCGTCTTCCTAGTTACCCCATAACCACGCCTCAAATCTCTTATTCAGCATTTAACCAACCAAATACTAAGTAGTATCCGGTTATCATTCATACCCGCCGTTGAATTCCCTCATACACATATATTTCACCTTATGCCATTCAAATGCCCAACACGACAGAATAGTTCAATGCAACTCTCTATTGGTTTTTTAAGTCGCTCCGGACCAGAGCGTCTGCCAAATGACCAAAAATGCAAATGTAAATATTCTCTACTTTCTCACTCATTACGTACGTCTACGTTTGAGTGTGAAAGTTCATACATATGCATCGTTGGACTTTATAGGTACCTCTCAAATAATCGCTTTGTGGTGTTTTTAGCCAATTCTTAATTGACACTAATCATTTTTTTTTTCAAACATTTTACCCGTTGAACCAAAAAATTGACTGTCCTCCTCATTTTCTTTACCCATGCAGTCACGATGGTTAAATATTCCTTTGTTACCGTTAAAGCATTTTCGCGCTTAAAAAAACACACTCGCTGTCTCTAGCCCCTCCGCTCGCTGTTTTTTAAAATTTGCTCCACAGTTGATATGCATTTGCGTAATCATATTTTCTAACTTTGCAACATCGAGATGCCCAATAAATCCATACCTCTTCTCCCAAATGGATCCATAAAACATATTTATTCGATCTCTTCCTAACATATATCTTTCATCCCCCGTTAATTCTCGGACTTCTTTAGAAGATGTCTTTCCCATGGTGGAACAATAAGAAATCCCCCCCCTTTTTGTTTTTTAAATAATTAACTCCCGAATTATTTTCGTAGGAGCTAATATCTTAGTGCGCCTCTTGCTTTTGTAATTAACCATTTAAAATTATTTAACCCCTAACCCAGAGTTTTTATTTAAAACTCCGGTTTCATGAAAAGAGTAAGTTACCCAATTTTTCTTACGTGACTTATTTTTTGCTCCTTCCTTGAAATAATGATCACGTCTCCCGATGGATTAAGTCTCACACATACACGACCTTATCATTTGCCAAACTTGTTTGCAAAGTTCTAGCAAATCCCCAGTCGTATACGCTACTCCCGACTCATCCATCTCACACGATGATAATTATTTCCCTGTTTATACTGTTACACTGCAATTCGTACAATGACAATATTAACTAGTTTACATTTGTGATTGCAATTCACTCCATGTCATTTCGGACTAGTTTATTTTTGTAATAGCTATTTACTTAGGGTCATTTCCGGACCCTCCCCAGTCGTAATAATTATTACCTTCTTTGAGATTTTGGTAACCTGTCTGCCCTTTACAAGAATTCCTATCCTTATACAAGTTCAAATCATTTCACCAAAATCCATGAATAAAATTACTGACCTTTTCCCTGCAGTTTGGATTTAAATAATTTTTCAAACTCGTTAACGTCTTTATCGTTCATAAAGAGTAATCACCGGCCTGTTTATAACCTTAACGTCGAAGGCCAGGACTATTCTCCACGGATGCAATCACCCGGCCGTGCACGGATTCGGTGTCCTTAGAACGATAAAGACGTATTTAAGCTCCGCTCAAAGGACCAATCTGTCATGTGAATTTCTATCTCTAATTCAACCTAAGCTTGAATCATTACCAGAGGTTGTAAGGCTCTGGTTTTAATCATCAATGATTCAAGGTCCACAACCAACAAGTATTATCTGTATATTTATTCATGGAGAGAGCTCTGGCGCCAAAACCCATACACTCCTGTTTTATACCCCTTAACACACACAGGCACTTTGCTCCGCCCACCTTTAGGAGGCTTTCTTAAACAGTTTCCACCTTCTCCTTCACCCTGGAATGTTTAGTCCCGCCCCCCTCTGTTAGTGGATTGACACTACATTATAACACAGTTTACACATTTATACTGTATTTGGGGTGAAATCCTTTAGTCATTATTCTTAAAATCCAAATTAATCTAACAAGCTCTTACACCAACGGCCCCGGTAAAGCCAAAAGCTTACCTTGACTTAGAAGAGTTCCAGTGTTGCATCCCTCTGTTTAAGCAGGGTGTTTGAGTAGTCTAAACTAGCTAGCTGCATTTGCTAGCTAAGTAAGTGAAACTTAAAGTGAAAAACAATAACAAAATCTCTATCTCTCTCTCTTGCTTCTCCTTCATTTTGGAATAAATTAATTTGTTAAAAACTGTTCAACTATTGTCTTTCTCTCTCTTTGAGTCAACTACTCACCACATTATATGCACTGCAGTGCTAGCTAGCTATCTTGTGCTTTCAGTACTAGATTCATTCTCTGATCCTTTGATTGGGTGGACAACATGTCAGTTCATGCTGCAAGAGCTCTGATAGCTTGGAGGACGTCCTCCAGAAGTTGTCATAATTACTTTTTAAGTCTATGGAAGGGGGTGAGAACCTCCTAGGTTTTGTATTGAAGTCAATGTACCCAGAGGAGGACGGAAGCTAGGTGTCCTCCGGCTATACCATGGTGCTGCCCTACAGAGTGCTGTTGAGGCTACTGTAGACCTTAATTGCAAAATAGAATGTTTTAATCAATTCTTTGGTGACTTGATTATATTTAGTTCCGTTTTATCTAAAAAGGATAACTTTTGTAATGTTTTAACATTTTTATTTTTTATGAAAATCATTGAGGAGGATGGTCCCTTCTTCCTCTGAGGAGCCTCCACTGCTATCCACAACAAGGTGGTGGTTGGTGGGAGGAGCTATAGGAGGATGGGCTCATTGTAATGGCTGGAATGGAATAAATGGAACAGTGTCGAACACATCGAACATATGGAAACCACATGTTGGACTATGTTCCGTTTATTCCATTCCAGCCAGTACAATGACCCTGTCATCCTATAGCTCCTCCCACCAGCCTCTGCCACAACCTGTTTGAGACATTCTAATCTAAAGGATACCACTATTTTCTTCCACTAACCCATCATAGCATGGGTTGAAAACAGTGTATACAGGCCTATGTGTGCCTATGGTTGAACATTGATTTGCATGTGTGTTGCTAAAGATATGTAATTTAAACAGAAACTACAAAATTAAGTTGTTAGAACAATAAAAATAAAAATAAAATAAATGATGCAACTGACCATGAGGGTTGCAGGAAAGACTGCTGAATGCTGGTCAAATGAAACTGAATGAGGTGAAGGTGAGGAATTGCAATGAGGAATGGGTCAATTACAGAAGGAAAGTGCTCATTATCTAAATACAGGCACAACCTTTATTACATTATCAGGATGATGAAAGGGCACAACCTTTATTACATTATCAGGATGATGAAAGGGCACATAACCTGGTGCAATACCATCAAATTCAATTGACATTGATGCTGCAACAAATTGTTTGTGCCATGTTACTCCAACCCACATTTCAAAAGTATAGCCAAAGTCTTGTAGGCCTTCTTTTATATTGAGAATAATGGGGCACTGTGTAAGGGAGCATGTTTATTTTGATCTCAAAGAATTGAAAACGAATGCTTTCTAGGCCTATGGTATGAATAATTACCAAGAGCTTTGCTCTTTATTTTGGAACATAGCCTACAAGTTAACAATGTAACTATTTATGAACAAAATGTGTTTAATTCTGCTTGTTCTTGCTGACTGAATAACCCTGAGCCATGGACTACTCTGTTATTATTCTCACACTGGGTCACGAGATTTCTGACAGCCATGTGATGTGATACCCAATACAGTTATTCAGTTTCAGTCCCACTGGCTAGTACAAATTCTGCTTGAGAACAATATACGGGAGTCAATTTATTCAGCATATATCTATCAACCTTATTGTCGAACTGGCCTATGTTACAACTTAATCCATTTAAACAAATATTAGATGGAGGAATAGGTCGCACGAAAGCGCATCCATCATCAGCTGATCGCTCTCAAGGTCGGCTCGCTGAGCATCATGGGGAGGAAACTGAATACACTGGTTCTACCCGGGGACCGCTACATTCCCTACAACTAAAAAATTCGTTGGTTCACTATCCTCACCATAATAGGAGACCCACGCCTTTGCCCATGACCGCATAGCTGTCACGAGATGTGATGCAAAAAAGCGAGTTGGGTTACGCAGAGAGCATCTCGTTTTTCATAGGTTGATGGAAACTGGGCTATCGTCAAAAGGAAATGTGCGGGTTGTCGAGCATCGACTCCACAAGCCTGAGCTATAGGAAACGAATAACGAATACATTTTCATGAGCCTGTTTTTATAGTACCACATTGGTGCCAGTGGAATCGTTGAGGGTGAGAGAGGAATAGCACGTCTGATCACGACAGGTGAATTGCGGTAAATTGCTTGATTTATACTATTATATAACATATGTAGGGCATTGCTGACAAATCGTCCGCATAAAGGATTGATAGTAGGTAGGTCAAAAGTAGTGTTTTTAGGCCCATTAAGAAGTCACCCAACATTGTGTGGGAATGGCTCGATTTGACCGCCAAGTTAATTTTTTTGCATTTCATAGAGTAGTGATTTTTAAGCGAAGTATATTGCATTTGCTGCCATCGGATTCACTATAGCCTTGTATGCATTGTAACAATGTAGCCTAACAACTGAACATAAAATAAACAAATTGAATGGAATCGTAAACGAATGAAGACATTGCTATCTATGAAGATGTTAAAAGAAGGCTAGATAAAACAATGTTATTGTAGGGCTACTTGAGTTTAATTCGTAAAAGCAGCAGGGCAACGTTGTATTTCTACTTGTGATCAGTTTCAGCACCAAGGACAGCGACTTATCAGTTCCTTATTTTTGAGGCTGCAGCTTTGAAGACTGGGCGGTTCCGCAAGCCTTTTCCACCTGAAGATCTTTTCTCTTGTCCTCCTGTCCTGTTTGTCAACTTCTCATCAAGAGCTGCTTTTTGTTAGTGAATATCTCACTGAAGATGGTGGAGGAGGTAAGTGCTGCTCCCTAATTTAATAATGTGGACAGAGTAGTGATCTATGCTGCTGTTATTATATGCTGACCATGCACTACTCAGGCATACTATACTTTGACCATACAATGTGTGGCCCCTCAAAAGGTCCCTTAACATTTGCATGGGTACAATCCATCAAATGATTTCCAATTCTGTTGCATGCAGTCAGAATGTCATGTGACTGTTCAAAACCCACTTCATGGTTGTGGGTGTTGTACCATCCATGCTGTATATCAGTGAGTCATCCTCATGTTCTATGCTGAGCTTCCATGAGCGACCCAGTGATAGAATTGGACAGTTTACTGTTCTATGAATTATAGGGTCCAGAAATAGCTTTTAGGTAATGACAGTTATCATGCCATAGGCTATGGCATACAATTCTGATCATTAATCTCTGATATTGACATAATGAAATAACCCAAGGCCATTTGGATCTCAATCTATGTTGTGGTATTGAATATATAGCCAAAGCTAATCAACTCATCAATACAATTTGGCCTCAGCGTCCTGCATTACATGAATGGGTTTGATTGGTTCTCGTAGATGAAGGAGATAAGAGTGACCAGTTCAGTGAATGTTTCAAAGAATTAGACCAGAATCTCTATCGCTATTATACTGAGAGAGAGAGAGAGAGAGAGAGAGAGAGAGAGAGAGAGAGAGAGAGAGAGAGAGAGAGAGAAAGAGAGAGAGAGAATCTCCAAAGTACGCTTTGGAAATATGTACATTCTTATGTCATGCCAATAAAGGAAATTGGATTTAATTTAATTTAATTGCGAGAGAGAGAGAGGTATTTTCCCTCCCACAAGGCATTGGTGCAAGGAGCAGCAATGCCATGTTTTATCGCTGTGTGTTTTGGTCTATTTTAGCAAGTGCCACCTCCAGGCAGTTGTTATGACAACGAGGATGAGACAGATTCTCTTGGATGGAGGGGGCTATGGAGGAAGCAATGTGTGCATTGTTAGAAACAGGGAGGGGAAAAAGAAAGGGAAAGAGATGCAGTCTGGGAGGGGGCTATGGAAGAAGTAGTGTGTTATATCATTAGAAAGAGAGGGAGGGGAACAAAAAGAGGGAAAGCGAGATGGAGCCCTGAGTGTACAGTTCACTAAGGTCAGATGGATAAGTTCCACTTCTGTGACTCTGAAAAGGACTACCCTGTAGCATGCTTATTTTTATTTGAGCGTTTGCTCACTTTGCAAACAACCATATTACTAGGCTATTAGCACAGAGTTGCATTGTAAACATAACTGAGGTATGACGGTGCGTAATCGTGAAATGAACACGCAGTATTTGGCCGGGCTGAAAATTAAGCGCTCTTTTACCACAGTCTTATTTTAAAACTCACTCAACTCTTATCCTGTTTCATGACTTGGGTGTTCTTTTAAAATGACGCATTCAATATTGATCAAATTATTGAGCAAATCAAGATAATTTGATCAATTAGTACACTATTTTGAATGCATCTCATGGCTGCTTATTTCTACTGAGTCATTGTGACTTGACAGGCAGCATGGGGGGTTAGGGGAAGAGAAGAATAGAGATGGGGACTGGTGGAAGGTGAACTTCAGTATATAAACAGAGTGAGAGGGGGAGGGAAGAGAGAGGGGGGGGGGAGCGGGTATGGTGGGGGCTATGGTGTATTGCGCCTGTTTGTTTACAGTGTGTTAAAATACCACAGACTGTCACAATGTATGTTTTGCGGACACACGCTTTGTCTTGTGATACATCCCTGCCTACTTCAGTTCCTGTTTTTCATTGGGATTTCCGTTAAAGATTTGTATGGGTTTTGTGAAAACAGTTCCACTATTGAATGGAGCCACCATCACTTTGGGAGACCTTCCCGTCAAAACACAGAGGTGAAAAACACAGCAAATATAAGCAATTCAAATATGTTTGGAAATCAGACATATGGTGGAAGAGAAAATGTAATTCAGACATTGTTGATGAGTAGGGGAAGAGATGGAAGGGCAATGTTTATAATGGACCAGAATTGCATCATTCAACTATAGTTAGATGTAAGGTGATGTAAAGATCAAATAAATTATACTGATGCCAAGAACATTTTTGATCTTATTATTTAATTGTATTCACAAGGCAATTTACAACCAACATTTGGGGCCTTATTAACATTTCCTACACTGGTCCCTCACATCTCTTCTCTCACAAACTGAGGCTCACACACGGTCTAAACACCACCTCAACCACAAGCTCTAAAGGTGGACCAAAGGGCACCTAAGCCGCGAGGCATGGCCAGTCCAGTATCACATAACCTCTAACAATATGCTTTCTCAGCAGTGTCTCTGCATAGTGTTCTATATTACAGGATTCAGCAGAAAAGACCCAGTGGCCTGATTTATATGGCCTTCAAGGAGTTTAATTTGAGAACTGGCTACAGCATCATTTAAGAGCACAGTCCGATGTAAATCAATCAATCAATCAATCACATTTATTTATAAAGCCCTTTCTACATCAGCAGATGTCACAAAGTGCTATACAGAAACCCAGCCTAAAACATCAAACAGCAAGCAATGCAGATGCAGCCTGCATTTTGGTATCCAGCATGTAGCCTAATGCATATGCATAAGGCTATAAAGTGGTCTGCTAATGTTATAATGTATACTTTAGCAGATTTATTCAACTTATTTAAAGACTGGTGAAATACCTTTTGTATGGAAATGTCCCCGAGTGACCCCTCTTCATAAAGGTGGAAACTCCTTAGACCCAAATAATTATAGTCCTACAGTATATCAGTAATCTGTTCAATAGCTAAAAATCTTTGAGAAATTAATATGTTCCCAACTGTATCAGTACCTAGATTAATTTAATTTAATTTCACCCTTTCAATCTGGCTTTAGACCCAACCATTCTACTACTACAGAATTAGTGAAACTCACAAATTAAATACATTCTTAATCTGACCAAGGCACACTAACTGTTGCCATCTTTATTGATTTATCAAAAGCATTTGGTTTAGTTGATCATTCTATTTTACCAGGAAAACTTAAAAACATTGGTTTCACTAACAGACACATAACTGGTTCCATGCGTATCTTAGCAATAAAAAACAATGTGTTTTCATAGGACACAAATCACAACTTCTTGTACTCAGTAGAGGTGTACCTCAAGGCTTAGTATTGGCCCCCCTTCTTTTCTCTATATTCATAAATGAATTGCCTCTAATGTGTCAGAATAAACATGTTCACTGATACGCTGATGATACAGTGCTCTCCAAGATTATTTTACCTCTTTACAAAAATGGTTTCTTGCAAATAATTTGGTTTCAAATCAAACAAAGTCCTATATCATGCTGTTTGGTACACGGCAAATAATAAACTCCACAGCTGGCAATTTCAAAATTCATGGAACAATGCTTAAAAGTGTTGGGTTTGAGGATAGATTCTGAATTATCTTTTGGAAAGCATATTGATTACATTAGAAAAACAATTATCTATAAGCTTGGGTTACCAGATCTAATAATTGATTTACTGTATCCATTAGAAAGACCTTAGTTAACCCAACTGCTGCTTCCTATCCTAGACTCTGGTGGCATAATCTATCAAAACACAACCAATACCTTACTTTGCAAATTAGATGTCATTTATAACAATCTTTGCAGATTCATTCTTGGATGCCATTTATAAGACATCATTGCACAATGTATGCATCACTAAATTGTCTGTCACTCCCAAACAGAAGACAACTGCATTGGTACCAATTTATTTTTAAACGTTTCAACTTAAATTTTCCTGTATATATTAAGGAACACCTAACTTTACAAGACTCACACTACTCCTTTCGACAACAGCAGCAATTACAAATTCCAAGGGTACATCCTGAGGTTGGAGTAAGATCTTTCAGATACAAAGGCCTAACTGACAGGGATAATCTACCTATAGAAATTAGGGCATTAAAATCACACAGTGAATTTAAGAAAGTAATTTTTCAAATGTTAAGAACAAACTGTTTGTGATTTTAACTAATAAAAACATCACCATGTGAAGATATTTGTAAATATATACCTGTATGTATGTATATATTATAGGTACTTAGTTGTATTAGTATTTAGCAGTAGTTTGTATTAGTTGTAAGCCTATGAGTAGTTGTACAACAACTTTTTGATGTTGTCAATGTACATTTGTATTATTATTATTTCATTGTTATTATTATTAGACAGTAGTTGCCATATTATTCTTGCTACTAAGTATTGTTTTTTGTAAAAAAAACTAAATAATCACTTGGACACTTGAAAACAAGATGGTGCATCTCAAGAGAAATTTTATTTCTAATAAATAATTAAGTATTCAGTGGTGGTACAGGTCGAGAGAAGAATAAAGGTGGTTCAGTAAACAAGATGTGTAAACTTGTCTGAGACTTCTGGAAGTTTAGGCTTTACCTCAGTGGGCTAATGCTGTATTAAGTCATGTAGGCTGCAGATGACTTGGGTTTGACACCCGGCCAGAGACATTATAATAGCTTAACCTGTAACTGTATGATGTAATTTCCAGATGGTGCATGGACAACATTATTAATGCCTCTGAAAGAGTTTTAGTTTTACACTGTAGGGGCTGCTTGATCCGAATGTACTATGCATAAACCCCTAATAACACACACTATCCCCATTCTGTCTCTAACAGAAAAAGCAGGTGACAGGATACCTCCTGTTCTCCCTGGCCACTGCAGTCATTGGCTCGCTGCAGTTTGGCTACAACACAGGGGTCATTAATGCACCTGAACAGGTTTGTAGGTTTATTTTGTGTTTTCTTATAACAGTGAAAGCATGTGTGGGCTTTGGTTTTGTTAAACTGTACGTTATGTTTAATCGCTTTCCATTATGCTTGTGGATATTGTACTACTGATTTGTATTACACTGCACTTCATTAAGCGTTAAATCAAGAGATAATATCTTGATTTATCTAATAATTATTTATTGCTCTCTCTCCCTCTCTCCCTCTCTCTTCCTCCCCCTCACCTGTTTAGAAACTGCGGGCTTTCTTTAACAACACGTGGATGGAGAGGTATGGCGAGCCCATCACACCAGGAACGTGTACCATTGTGTGGAGCTTTTCGGTGGCCATCTTTAGTGTGGGCGGCATGGTGGGCTCCTTCAGCGTCGGAGTGATGGCAGACAGATTTGGGAGGTGAGTGGTGACCCAGTATTCACCTATTCACACCGGTGCCATTTTTCACTGACTATCGGTTGTTTTCTAATGTTAACATTTCCGAACAGGGTAGCAAGTGAAGTCTCAATGCAAAAACCAAACATGTTGACATGTAGATTAAAAACCACTGCACCTTCACACACTAACAATATTATTTTAGTCAGGATACTTAGAACAACATTTCTAGTGCATTGCCAGTCATCTGCACTGATTTTAAAAGACACAACCATTTATCAGCTACCCACACATTGTCGATGGTACAACAATCAGCTGTGAATAAAGTTTATTAAAAGTATTGGGAATGTTTTCCTTAGGAGTGAATTTAGTCACTCTCCAGTTCCGGTCCTTTCCTTGGTCTCTTTCTGTTTCTGCCTCTGCTAAGCTGTCAGAACCAATTAAGCTCCAAGGAGTCAGTGGAGTGTGATTGGAATCACTGCAACAACAAAAAATTCCTTCAACTATTCCGTTGTTTCCTTCTCCCACTACTTCCTTCTACATCTCACTCTCCCTCCCTCATTACCTCTCTCTCTGTCTATCTCTTACTCTACACATTGTCTCGTAACCCTCCCATATGTGTGTGTGTGTGTCTCGGGTATTGGGATAAAGGAAATTGTCCATGTTCCTGGTCAACATCCTGGCTGTGATCGGAGGCCTCCTCATGGGTTTCTCCACCCTCTGCTCTTCCTATGAGATGGTCATTGCCGGACGCCTCGTCATCGGCCTCTTCTGCGGCCTCTTCACTGGCCTTACACCCATGTACGTGGGGGAGCTGTCCCCCACCCCTCTAAGGGGCGCCTTCGGCACCTTACATCAGCTGGGCGTGGTGGTTGGCATCCTGGTGGCTCAGGTCAGTCCTTGACGGCAGCCATCTTGATTTCTGCCCATAAACAAAGGAATAGTCTTAACACGTACGTTACCATACCGTGTGTGCTTGTGATGCTGGTAATAAAGTCCCCATATAAGAATATTATGTTTTATGTGCGGGAATATTCTTATATGCAGTGATGTAGTGTTAACAACAATAGGTGGGTAAACGCTGATCGCTGTTAGGGGATAATAAAGTTACACTCCCTATACTTTCAATGTGTTTTCCCGCAAAGGGTGGGTAAATGTTCATGCAAAAAATAAAAGTGCGTAAACTGCGTTTACTTGCTTTTACCCTCCACTACACCACTGCTTAAATGATTAAGTCGTAGCCAGCAGACATTCAGATTTCTCATCACGCACCCTTGCCACTTAACATTGGAGTAATGTCTTTGCCTAATTATTTGCTATTTATTGTAATTATTTAATGAGTATTACATTCGTTTTTAATGAGCGACTGCATCTTTCTCTAGGAATACAATTCTTAATATTCTTCCCCTTCATTTTCTTCCACACACTGTCATGAACCTTCTCCATTAGAATTGCTTTATAGAACTGCCTCTTCCATTCCATACCATCAATGGATTAGTGTATTGTTTAATACTATCAACCATAGTGTATATCCCATCAGTGCTTCCCATCCCATCAATGTACAGTATATCCCATTCATGTTTGCATGTAAGCTGTGGTGCTGTGAATGAAACATTCCTGGTAGTAAAGTTAATCCTACTTAAACCTCTCTGTGTTGTAGGTCTTTGGCTTGGAGTCTCTGCTGGGGTCGGACAAGCTGTGGCCTCTGCTGCTGGCTCTGACGGTCATCCCGGCCGTGCTGCAGTGTATCCTGCTGCCCTTCTGTCCCGAAAGCCCCCGCTTCCTCCTCATCAACCAGAACAAGGAGGAGCAGGCCCGCAAAGGTGGGTGCTCCAAGCCATAGAAACCATCAAATTGTTGAGGTTTGAGGGAATTTGCACATTCTAGTAATTCTATATCCATGCTCCAAACGCAGTCATTTACTCTGGACCGTCAGGAAGTTAAATGGAAACACTTCATTTAACAGTCCTATTTTAGCTTGAATGTTCCTGGAATTGCATCTATTTGCGGATAAATAATATAGTAAAATTGAGTAATTTTGTGAGTGGTACTTATATACCAACATACTGGTGTATGTCACAATAAAACATACACTCAGTGGTCAGTTTATTAGGTACACCACCCGTTCATGAAAATGGTTTGCTCCAAAAACAGTGAGTCACATGGCAGTGGCTTGCTATATAAAGCAGGCAGACAGGCATCGAGGCATTCAGTTACTGTTCGATTGAATGTCAGAATGGGCAAAACGAGTGACCTAAGCGACTTTGAGCTTGGTATGATTGTCAGTGCCAGGCACGCCGGTTCCAGTATCTCAGAAACGGCCAGCCTCCTGGGCTTTTTACGCACTACTGTGTCTCGGGTTTAGAAAGAATGGTGCGACAAACAAAAAACATCCAGCCTGTGGCAGTCCTGCGAAAACAGCTTGTTGATGAGAGGTCGAAGGAGAATGGCAAGAATCGTGCAAGCTAACAGACAGGCAAATAACGGCACAGTACAACAGTGGTGTTCAGAACGGCATCTCAGAACGCACAACTCGTCGGTCCTTGTCACGGATGGGGTATTGCAGCGGACATCCACTCCTATCAGCTAAAAACAAGAAGAAGCTGCTCCAGTGGGCACACGATCACCAACACTGGACAATTAAGGAGTGGAAAAACATTGCCTGGTCCGATGAATCCCGGTTCCTGTTGCGTCATGCTGATGGCAAAGTCAGGATTTTGAGTAAGCAGCATGAGTCCATGGCCCCATCCTGCCTGGTGTGAACGGTACAGGCTGGTGGAGGTGGTGTAATGATGTGGGGAATGTTTTCCTGGCACACTTTAGGTCCCTTGATACCAATTGAGCAATGTTTCCATGTCCCGAAGAATTCAGCCTGTTCTGGAAGCAAAGGTGGATCCGACCCGGTACTATATGGGTGTACCTAATAAGCCCTCAATGTACACTATATATACAAAAAATATGTGGACACCCCTTGAAATTACATTTACATTTACATTTACGTCATTTAGCAGATGCTCTTATCCAGAGCGACTTACAAATTGGTACATTCACCTTATAGCCAGTGGGATAACCACTTTACAATATGTTTTTTTTTTCTTTCTTTGGGGTGGGGTAAGGGGGGGTAGAAGGATTACTTTATCCTATCCCAGGTATTCCTTAAAGAGGTGGGGTTTCAAGTGTCTCCGGAAGGTGGTGAGTGACTCCGCTGTCCTGGCGTCGTGAGGGAGCTTGTTCCACCATTGGGGTGCCAGAGCAGCAAACAGTTTTGACTGGGCTGAGCGGGAACTGTGCTGCCGCAAAGGTAGGGGGGCCAGCAGGCCAGAGGTGGATGAACGCAATGCCCTCGTTTGGGTGTAGGGACTGATCAGAGCCTGAAGGTAAGGAGGTGCCGTTCCCCTCACAGCTCCGTAGGCAAGCACCATGGTCTTGTAGCAGATGCAAGCTTCAACTGGAAGCCAGTGGAGTGTGCGGAGGAGCGGGGTGACGTGAGAGAACTTGGGAAGGTTGAACACCAGAGGGGCTGCGGCATTCTGGATGAGTTGTAGGGGTTTAATGGCACAGGCAGGGAGCCCAGCCAACAGCGAGTTGCAGTAATCCAGACGGGAGATGACAAGTGCCTGGATTAGGACCTGTGCCGCTTCCTGTGTAAGGCAGGGTCGGCTATTTCAGCCACACCCATTGCTGACAGGTGTATAAAATCTAGCACACAGCCATGCAATCTCCAAAGACAAACATTGGCAGTAGAATGGCCTTACTGAAGAGCTCAGTGACTTTCAACGTGGCACCGTTATAGGATGCGACCTTTCCAACAAGTCAGTTCGTCAAATTTCTGCCCTGCTAGAGCTGCCCCGGTCAACTGTAAGTGGTGTTATTGTGAAGTACAAACATCTAGGAGCAACAACGGCTCAGCCGTGAAGTGGTAGGCCACAAGCTCACAGAATGGGACCGCCAAGTGCTGAAGCGCGTAGCGCGTAAAAATCGTCTGTCCTCCGTTGCAACACTCACTACCGAGTTCCAAACTGACTCTGGAAGCAACATCAGCAGAGCTTCGTCGGGAGCTTAATGAAGTGGGTTTCCATGGCCGAGCATCCACACACAAGCCTAAGACACCATGCGCAATGCCAAGCGTCGGCTGGATGGTGTAAAGCTCGCCGCCATTGGACTCTGGAGCAGTGGAAACGCGTTCTCTGAAGTGATGAATCACGCTTTACCATCTGGCATCCCGACGGACAAATTTGGGTTTGGTGGATGCCAGGAGAACTCTACCTGCCCGAATGCATAGTGCCAACTGTAAAGTTTGGTGGAGGAGGAATAATGGTCTGGGGCTGTTTTTCATGGTTCGGGCTAGGCCCCCTAGTTCCAGTGAAGGGAAATCTTAACGCTACAGCATATAATGACATTATAGACGATTCTACGCTTCCAACTTTGTGGCAACAGTTTGGGAAAGGCCCTTTCCTGTTTCAGCATGACAATGCCACCGTGCACAAAGCGATGTCCATACAGAAATGGTTTGTCGAGATCGGTGTAGAATAACTTGACTGGCCTGCACAGAGCCCTGACTGGAGGCTGATATAGCAGCAAAGGGGGATCAACTCCATATTAATGCCCATGATTTTGGAATAAGATGTTTGATGAGCAAGTGTCCACATACTTTTGATCATGTAGTGTCCATTAAATACCCTTGAATGGTGTGAATTGTGCATGCCAAACATAGGCCTGTGGCGTTATTGCCCTTCCTCTGACTGGGCATGAATTTAATGCATACAGTGACAGGCTTAGACAGGACAGGCGAGACGGAAGCTTGTTGAGCCAAGAAAAGAGTCCTTGACTGACGCACAGCATAGGCCAACAGCAGGTTTTGGCACCGGTCGCTACAGTATTTCACACTGTGGGGGTCACCTGAGTGCATGTCCTAATCTCCTTCACACTGTTTTGTTTCAAACTCTTTGGTGAATAAGATAATAAAAAAGGGAACATTTGTTTTGGTCAGTCTTTTATGTGATGGATACCATTATGAAAGAACTGGCAGGACCATGGAACAATGCTATGACCATGGAACCATGCTACTGAACAAACAACTACAACGCAGGCAGGTTTTAGTGTTGGTGCTACTATTTACTCAATTAGTGTTTTTAAAGGTCCAATGCAGCTGTTTTTATCTCAATATCAAATCATTTTTGTCTAACAATTAAGTGTCTTACTGTGATTGTTTTAAATTAAAATGGTCAAAATGAAACAAAGAAAGTGTCACGATCGTTGAACGGAGTAGACCAAGGCGCAGCGTTGAAGGCAAACATACTTTATTATCCAAAGTGATAACACGAACAAAACAATAAACGATAACGTGACGTGACGTCCTAGGTTAAACACAACCAACACGGAACAAACCAAAAGGAACAAGATCCCACAACACCTGTGGGAACACAGCCTGTCTAAATATGGCTCCCAATCAGAGACAACCAGCAACAGCTGACACTCGTTGCCTCTGATTGGGAACCACTCTGGCCAACATAGAAATACAATACTAGACTGTGAACATAGAACAAAAACACATAGAATCTACACACCCTGGCTCAACATATAGAGTCCCCAGAGCCAGGGTGTGACAGTACCCCCCCCCAAAGGCGCGGACTGCGACCGCGCCTCAACATAAACCAAACAGGGGAGGGCTGGGTGGGCATTCCTCCTCGGAGGCGGTTCCGGCTCCGGGCTTGCCCACCACCCTCCAATAATCCCCCCGTAGCGCCCCTGGTCCGGTCTGGCCCCGCTGGCTGGAGCTGGACTGGATATCGTAGGAGCGGATTGCTTAAGCTCCGGTGTGGAGCAGCTGACCGGTACCTTACCAGGCACGGGTTGTGCCGGACTGACGACGCGCACCCCTGGCTTGGTGTGTGGAGCAGGAACGGGCCGGGCCGGGCTGACGATGCGCACCCCTGGCTTGGTGCGTGGAGCAGCAACGGGCCGGACCGGGCTGACGATGCGCACCCCTGGCTTGGTGCGTGGAGCAGGAACGGGCCTTACCGGGCTGATGACTCGCACCCCTGGCTTGGTGCGTGGAGCAGGAAACGGGCCTTACCGGGCTGACGACTCGCACCCCTGGCTTGGTGCGTGGAGCAGGAACGGGCCTTACCGGGCTGACGACTCGCACCCCTGGCTTGGTGCGAGTGGCAGGAACAGGCCGGGCCGGGCTGGCGACGCGCACCGTAGGCTTGGTGCGAGGGGCAGGAACAGGCCGGGCCGGGCTGGCGACGCACACCGTAGGCTTGGTGCGAGTGGCAGGAACAGGCCGGGCCGGGCTGGCGACGCGCACCGTAGGCTTGGTGCGAGTGGCAGGAACAGGCCGGGCCGGGCTGGCGACGCGCACCATAGGCTTGGTGCGAGTGGCAGGAACAGGCCGGACCGGGCTGGCGACGCGCACCGTAGGCTTGGTGCGAGGGGCAGGAACAGGCCGGGCTGGGCTGGCGATGCGCACCGTAGGCTTGGTGCGAAGGGCAGGAACAGGCCGGGCCGGGCTGGCGACGCGCACCGTAGGCTTGGTGCGAGGGGCAGGAACAGGCCGGGCCGGGCTGGCGACGCACACCGTAGGCTTGGTGCGAGTGGCAGGAACAGGCCGGGCCGGGCTTGCGACGCACACCGTAGGCTTGGTGCGAGTGGCAGGAACAGGCCGGGCTGGGCTGGCGACGCGCACCGTTGGCTTGGTGCGAGTGGCAGGAACAGGCCGGGCTGGGCTGGCGACGCGCACCGGAGGCTTGGTGCGAGGAGCAGGAACAGGCCGGGCCGGGCTGTGGAGACGGATAGGAGGCCTGGAGTGAAGAGCTGCCACAACCCGTCCTGGCTGAATGCCTACCTTCACACACTCTGTGTGAGGCATCAGCACAGGACGTACAGGGCTGTGTACCCGTACTGGCATAACAGCACGTGACACTGGCGCAGGATATCCGGGACCGAGGAGAGGCACTGGAGGCCACGAGCGCTGAGCCGGCACACTCCGTCCTGGCTGCATGCCCACCTTCGCACGACACGTGCGGGGTGCTCGCACAGGACGTACCGGACTATGCCGGACCACTCGTGGCACAGTACGCAGTTCCGCATACCCCGGAACCTGCCCAGTCTCATGCTGCCATGCCTGAGTACGGGGAGTTGGCTCTGCTCTCCATCCAGGCTCCGCCAACCTGCCTTCTGGCCCCCCAAACCCGGTGGCCTCCTCTCCTAATCTCCCAATTCGCCCTGTGGCAGCCTCCTGCTGCCCAGTCGCCCATGCCGTGTGCCCCCCCCTAAAAATGTTTTGGGGTTGCCTCTCGTCCGTCCGACGACGACACTGTTGCCGCCGTTGCTCCTCTCTCGCCAGGGCCTTAACCTTAGCCCATGGCCCTTTTCCCCCGAGCATGTCCTCCCAGGACCACAATTGGCCCACCTGGGCCATCGCCAACCTCTCCAGCTCCTTACCCGGCGCTTCCTCCCATGTCCAGGCTGCCTGCTCCTGGACACGCTGCTTGGTCCTGGTATGGTGGGATCTTCTGTCACGATCGTTGAACGGAGTAGACCAAGGCGCAGCGTTGAAGGCAAACATACTTTATTATCCAAAGTGATAACACGAACAAAACAATAAACGATAACGTGACGTCCTAGGTTAAACACAACCAACACGGAACAAACCAAAAAGAACAAGATCCCACAACACCTGTGGGAACACAGCCTGTCTAAATATGGCTCCCAATCAGAGACAACCAGCAACAGCTGACACTCGTTGCCTCTGATTGGGAACCACTCTGGCCAACATAGAAATACAATACTAGACTGTGAACATAGAACAAAAACACATAGAATCTACACACCCTGGCTCAACATATAGAGTCCCCAGAGCCAGGGTGTGACAAAAAGACTCTTAGCAAAGAGCAATTTTTCAAGCAATAATTTTGCATGGACTTTCGTGGAGTGGTCTGAGTGGGGAAGGAAAAACTGAAAACTAGCTGTTATTGTCATAGAGGTTTGAAACTCCTTATTGGTCTATTAACTAATTTACCACCTGGTGATGTCACCAGGCAGGCCAAAACTCCATCCCACCAAAACAGGCTGAAATTTCAGCTGTCTTTTCAAACAGCTCTTATACTAAAAGGGCATTATCATCATTTTCACATTTTAGGGGCCTCCCGAGTGGCGCAGCTGTCTAAGGCACTGCTTCGCAGTGCTGAGGTGACACTACAGCCTCGGGTTCGATCCCAGGCTGTGTCACAGCCGACCGTGACCGGGATCCCCATAGAGCGGGGCGCAATTGGCCCAGCGCCGTCTGAGTTAGGGGAGGGATTGGCCGGGGGGGATTTCCTTGGCTCATCGCGCTCTAGTGACTCCTTGTGGTGGGCCGAGCTCCTGCAAGCTGACTCAGTCGTCAGTTGAATGCCGTTTCCTCCGACACATTGGTGCGGCTGGTTTCCGGGTTAATCTTGCAGTGTGTTAAGAACGCATGACTCGACTCGACCTTCACCTCTCCCAAACCCGTTGGGGAGTTGCAGTGATGAGACAAGATCGTAACTACCAATTTGATTTCACGAAATTGGGGAGAAAAATGGGGTTATAAAAATACATAATAATACTTTTCACAATTTCACAGTATTATTCCAATGTCATAGTGTGGAAATATAAATAAAACACAGGAAAATCACATTTCTGACTGCGCTGGGCCTTTAAAAATGTTTTGCGCCAAATTTTTTACTTCATTTCTCAAAGAAAAGGATATCTGTATGATATTTTGTACAAAACTAAGAAGGTTTTATGCACCTCATGTATTTCAATATTTTCTTTAACATATTGTCATTGGTTGACTCTCTACTTACCTAATGATTTTACAAATATATTGTCTCCTTTTAAAACTTGTATGTCCTTCACATTATGGTGTCACTTATCTGCCTCTCTCACTCCGCCATTTTCTCCCCCCTAGCCCTGGTGCGTCTGCGTGGCTCCGAGGACGTGAGTAAAGACATGCAGGAGATGAAGGAGGAGAGTTCCAAGATGGCCATGGAGAAGAAAGTGACCATCCCTGAGCTGTTCCGCACCGCAGCCTATCGGCAGCCGCTCCTCATCGCCGTCATGCTCCACCTCTCCCAGCAGCTCTCCGGAATCAATGCTGTGAGTGAACTATGACTCCCAGGTGGCCTCAGTACAAACACATTCGAATTAGTTGAAAAGTCACCAAGGATATCTCAAGAGGACAGCCTAACAATACAGGGTCGCATTCACTAGGCACGAAACTGAAGAAAAAAGGCAGAGACGGGGAGGTACTATCTGAATTTATCCAATAAAAAATTATGTGTGTCCTTAAGAAGATGACCCAGGCTTCATACAGAGAGGAACTGCAGCTGCCTATGCATAGTTGAATAGTTGAATGACAGCTGCATTCAACATGCCTTATATGCTTAATGACTGCATGTTTGGGAGATTTGTTTGGATTATTCGATGGATTACTCCATAGTGTTACAGTATGATAAAATACCACTTTGATAAGATGTGGCTTCCTATTCATAGATTATGGCCTTGTTGCAGATCAAGAACCTCATTTTATTGTTGCCCTCCCCCAACCCTTTTCAGGTGTTCTACTATTCAACTGGTATCTTTGAATCAGCCGGTGTAACCCAACCCATTTACGCCACTATTGGAGCAGGAGCTGTTAACACTGTCTTTACTGTGGTATCTGTAAGTATAACATGCTGCATTTATTAGTGTTTATTGAGTTTATGTGTGTATGTAATGTATGTTTACTGTAAGGGAACTTCTTTCTCTGTTTTTGTCAGCTCTTCCTGGTCGAGAGGGTGGGACGAAGGACTTTGCATCTCATCGGATTGGCCGGAATGGCTGTCAGTGCCCTGCTCATGACTATTGCCCTCCTGTTGGTGGGTGTCAGTTTCTATTGGTTGTCATTCAACATAACAGATATGTCATTAATTACAGTAATTCCTTTTCATTGCTATTATTGATGATAATCTCCATCTCCTTTCTCTCTATCTCCCTCCCTCCCTCCCTCCCTCTTTCTTTCTTTCTTTCTTTCTTTCTTTTTCTTCTTTCTTTCTTTCTTTCTTTCTTTTCTTTTTCTTCTTTTCTTCTTCTTTCTTTCCCTTTCTTTCTTTCTTTCTTTCTTTTTCTTTCTTTTTTCTTTTTCTTTCTTCTTTCTTCTTTCTTCTTCTTCTCCTGTTCTTTCGTTCTTTCTTTCTTTTTATCTCTCTCTCTCCATCTCTTCTCTCTCTCTCTCTTTCTTCTCTTCTCTTCTCTCATCCCTCTCTCTCTCTCTCTCTCTCATCCTCGTCACTCTCCGGGAGAGACTCGTCTCTCTCCTCTTCATCATCTCTCTCTCCTCCGCTCCCTGAGCTACCTAAGCATTGGGGCTGTGTTTCTGTTCGTGGCCATGTTTGAGATGGGACCTGGTCCTATCCCATGGTTCATAGTGGCGGAGCTCTTCTCTCAGGGTCCGCGGCCTGCCGCCATAGCCGTGGCTGGCTGCTGCAACTGGACCGCCAACTTCCTGGTGGGAATCAGCTTCCCCAAACTGGAGGTGCGAGAGGTTTCTCTTGGTTTCCCATTAGGGGCGAATCCTAACTTCCACTTAAGTCAAAATTTCAATTATTACATTGACTAATTAAAGTAATTACTGACTTCCACTCATTTTCTCTCTCTTTGTTTGTAATTCTGTAGGAGCTCTGTGGGCCTTACGTCTTTATCATCTTCATGATCTTACTCCTCTTCTTCTTCATCTTCACCTTCATCAAAGTCCCAGAGACCAAGGGCAAGACCTTTGACGAGATCGCCCGCGAGTTTGGCGGGGGCCCCCTGCCACCTGCCACCTCCGTGGAAGCTCCTGCCACTAGTAGCAGCATAACACTTCCTGCCTCTCCCATCAAGGAGAAGGTCCCATTGGTGGAGGCGGCAGCAGCAGAGGATAAGTCCAACTCAACTGTACAGGAGAGCTTGTAGAATCCTGTGTCGGGTCAAGGGTTAAAGGTCAGGGGTTGGCGGTCAGCTGGTTCAAAAATAGATCAAAGGTTCATTCTTTGGCAGTTCAGGTACATGGGGACGAGTGATTAAGGTGAAGGGAAATATACTGTTCGTGTACATGGAAAGCCACAACACACACATATTTTGGTGGATACAGTAGCTAAGATGAATTAGTGTTATTTTGTCACATTTTTTGTGTAATATATAGTACCAGTCAAAAGTTTGGACACACCTACTCATTCAAGGGTTTTTCTTTATTTTTACTATTTTCTACATTGTAGAATAATAGTGAAGACATCAAAACTATGAAATAACACATATGGAATCATGTAGTATCCCAGAAAGTGTTAAACAAATCAAAATATATTTTATATTTGAGATTCTTCAAATAGCCACCTTTTGCCTTGATGACAGCGTTGCACACTCTTGGCATTCTCTCAACCAGCTTCATGAGGTAGTCACCTGGAATGCATTTCAATTTACAGGTGTGCCTTCTTAAAAGTTAATTTGTGGAATTTCTTTCCTACTTAATGCATTTGAGCCAATCAGTTGTGTTGTGACAAGGTAGGGGGGTATACAGAAGATAGTCCTATTTGGTAAAAGACCAAGTCCATATTATTACAAGAAAATATCAAATAAGCAAAGAAAAATGACAGTCCATCATTACTTTAAGACATGAAGGTCAGTCAATATGGAACATTTCAAGAACTTTTAAAGTTTATTCAAGTGCAGTCGCAAAAACCATCAAGTGCTATGATGAAACTGGCTCTCATGAGGACCACCACAGGAATGGAAGACCCAGAGATACCTCTGCTGCAGAGGATACGTTCATTAGAGTTACCAGCCTCAGAAATTGCAGCCCAAATAAATGCTTCACAGAGTTCAAGTCACAGACACATCTCAACAACAACTGTTCAGAGGGGACTGTGTGAATCAGGCCTTCATGGTCGAATTGCTGCAAAGAAACCACTACTAAAGGACACCAATAAGAAAAAGAGACCTGCTTGGGCCAAGAAACACGAGCAAAGGACATTCAACCGGTGGAAATGTGTCCTTTGGTCTGGAGTCCAAATTGGAGATTTTTGGTTCCAACCGCTGTGTCTTTGTGAGACGTGGTGTGGGTGAACAGATGATCTCCGTATGTGTAGTTCCCACCGTAAAGCATGGAGGAGGAGGTGTTATGGTGTGGGTGTGCTTTGCTGGTGACACTGTCTGTGATTTATTTAGAATTCAAGGCACACTTAACCAGCATGGCTACAATGGCATTCTGCAGCGATACGCCAACCCATCTGGTTTGCGTTTAATGGGACTATCATTTGTTTTTCAACAGCACAATGACCCAACACACCTCCAGGCTGTGTAAGGGCTATTTTACCAAGAAGGAGAGTGATGGAGTGCTGCATCAGATGACCTGGCCTCCACAATCCCCCAACCTCAACCCAATTGAGATGGTTTGGGATGAGTTACTACATGATTCCATGTATTATTTCATCGTTTTGATGTCTTCACTATTATTCTACAATGTAGAAAATAGTACAAATAAAGAAAAACCATTTTTTGAGTAGGTGTGTCCAAACTTTTGACTGGTAGCCACGTCTTATCAAAGTGGTATAGAAGTGTTCTCTACATATAGGTCAACATTTTTATTTTTATTTTGTTGCCTTCTTTTACTGAGTGCATCATCATTTAAACAGCTTTTAGTAAGGCCAAAGTGGGCCTAGTCAAAACAACAAAACAAACAACCTCAATAGTGTTTCTGGTAAACAGTCGTTTTAACAGTGAAACAGTAGATTAGGGTAAATTACATTGGTTGGCTTTCTTGGTTTAGAAATAGCTTTTTTAAATAACCCAATAATCCCATGATTATCATACTTTTATTTCAGCAGTTGTTGTATTTGAGAACAAAATGATATGCTTTTACCCTACGCAAGAATCCACTGATAAAGAATCACATTTGGATGGTTGCATAATGAAGTAAGATGGTTGTTGTTTTCAATGAGAGAGAGAGAGAGAGAGAGAGAGAGAGAAAGAGAGAGAGAGAGAGAGAGAGTAAGAAATATGGTACTTATTTCACTTTAACTTGCTTTAGGTGCACTTTATTAACCAAATAGAAATCAATTAAAACTCCACAATTGCTAATACATTCTTCAAAAAGCGCTTTATGGTAAATTAATCAACATAAGGAAAAATTAGAGAAATATTTACCTGAGGGAGTGCTTTTACAGCTAGCCTATAAAATAAAAAAACTTTAGGATAGCGTAGAATTGTCTAAGGGGATTGCAATAGAGGTTTCAAATTAAAAAGGTTAAAACTTTATTCGAAGGATGGGTAACTTTAATGAAGATAGTTATTTTGGATATTAAATTATAATAGATTGTGATATGAGTCGCGATGTTATGAACTTGGATTCGATAAGAATCAACCACATAGAGCAAAGGACTCCAGCGGTTTTCTCTGTGGTATTGAGTGCAATTTTGAATTGTTCTGCTGTGAGAGCATTCAGTCAAACATTTTGAATATAATTGTGATGGTTGTCTATTCAATGTGTATATGGAATACCACAATGGGAATTTAGTTGTGACCAAATGTGAAGATTTGTGCAAAATGCTTTTTAATGACTCCATTTTGAGTCTATACTCTATTTTGTGACACTTTGTCTGAAGATTAACCATGTGGAACATTGTTAAAAATATTCATTTATTCAAAGATTTTATTGTATAGATATATTGTAGTATATTTGAATGTGTTACAAAAAAAGTATTTATTTTTTATTTGTGGTTGTGTAAATTAGATGTAGTAATTTTGCCCCAAGCACTTTCACAATTTATTTTGCCTAGAAAGATGACAGGGTCATGGCTTTGTTCTGTATTCATATAATATATTGTGGATATATGTATGTGTTGCACTGGTAAAATACATTCCTTTGATGGTACTATTCAGCATTTGACCTCTCCTCCAAGGAAAAAATGTTCTTCAATGGCAGCACTCCCTCATTACTGTAAACAAGACCGTGGTACTTTAGTAACTGAACCATACCCAGCTACCTTATGCACATTCACTTACTGTACAAAGTTAGGAGAGTATTTATTTGTAAATATGTATTTATATGTTGTCTGCAGTGGTTGAATGTGGGCTTGTTCTGGTTTATGGGGTGCCAATCATCCAATGAGTGAAAAGGAGAAGGAAAAAGAGAGAACAACTATTTGGATTGTTTCCTAGTAATACACTGAATAAGTAATAAGTAATACACATATTAACTTTGTGGTTAAAGTATTATTTATGTCACAATGTACACTGGATAATAAAAAAATCAGCTCCCTTACCACTACTCCACAACACTTTCCCTCACTCTCCCTCTCTCTTCCACTTTCCATATGCCTTCCACTTGTTCAGTATCCACCTTATGTTGTCCTCAGTGTGTGCCCACATTTTTTTATTTTTAGTTGATGATCATTGTATCCTATATTGTCACAGAGATCTATTCCATTTTATGTCAGAAAACCATGTTGTTTTGAAATAGATTTTTACCCATGAGGTTGGTATTGCTTTTATGTTTATTTTTCCTGGCCTGTGTTTCATGGCCTTCCATTTACTTTGAGTGATTGTGTTTGTGAGTTCCTTGTTTCTGCTGCTTATTTGTGCCTCTTCTTCAACACCTTTCAGCTAATGTGTACTGTATGTGTGTGTGTGAACACATTCTTCCTACTTCCAAAGTCTTGTACTCTTATTCTCCATGAGGCACCAAACAAAGGGCATTTCAGCAAGGTCTATAGCCCAGCCATAAACAACTGAAATGAAAATGGAATAAATAATGTTTAAAAAAAATAATCAATGTTGATATTGAATTGGAAAATATGGTCGAATTCATAAATATCAAGATCATGTGGAGTGCAGAAAAGCACACTTTTGAATTCATTTAGTAATTTTCCTGTATTTAAAAAATTTATCACACAAACAGTATAAATCTGGCTTTGAAATGGCCTATGAGGCATAATGAAACATTACAACAAACTAACAACAATCATACAGCCCCATATGTTACATGCATTTGTTTCACTTGTGTTTGTATATATGAATATAATGTTGTTAAATAAAACATCACACATCTAACAAACACACAAGCTTTGAAACCTTCTGTCCAGATGCTATCCTTGGCAAATAAAGTCAGCATCTTGCTTGGTTTAATCAATCAATCAATCAATCAATCAATCAATGTACTGTGTCTGTGTGTGAGAGTGTAATAAATGTTTTGTTAACCTCATTTATGACATCCACCAGGTGGCATTACGCCGCAATACCTGTTTGTTTGTTTGTGTGCTTCATTTGGACATAGTATTTCAACATTACTCGGATTAGCTGATGCTGAGAGTGACCATTTTGAGTGACAGGTTTAGAGCTTGAAGCTTGGGAGGAAAGTGATCAAAGTAAGTACATTTTTAAACATTGTTTTAAAATGAAAATTTAAAGGTAGCTTTACTTATAAACGCATCTTAGTTAATAGGAAGGTTAAACGGTTTCTTTCTTTTTACACACATGAAACAATGATTTCTGTTTATGGTCGCAAAATTGGGGTAATCAAGTTCATAGTAGCGGATGCACACGGCTGCAGGAGTTATTTCAAGATGCAGCTACAGTGTAACAGGGAGCATCACATACATTGTTGCAATTACTGACATATTAACCGTGTTGCTATTGCAGGTAGAGATTACATTGTAACTATGTTGTTGTTACATATTTTGGCACGCGACCTCCGTGTGCCGTCATTCCATTGCGACGGAAAAGGACAAACATCAAAAGGAGGCGTTGTCCTCCACCCAAATTTATGCAAAATATCAACCTAATTGAATGTACTGTAATATCGTCGTGCAAAAGGAATTGTTGCGTACTGTTACGCATTGAAGTCGAGAGAAACATAGGTGGCAATACACCAACGTCCACGGTGAGCAATGGATTTTCAGCATACGGTTGTCACGGGTAGCTAATTAGCTACAGTAGCTAGCTTGTGTGCTAGCACTGGCTGCAACTAGTTACTTTAGCTAGCTGGCTAACTACTGTACTAGCTAGCAGCACTCGAATTGCTTTTAATTATAGTGCAACAAGTGAGCTGCATAACATGTTGATAGCTAGCTAGCTAATAATGATTTACCTTGCAAGCGACTAATAATGCATTTATTACTAGCTGAGATTTATTGAATTGATGTTGAATGACAATCAAATGTTTGCAAACACAGTCAGGTGAAGGAGTGAAAGGAGGCATGGCATTCTTGATTGATGGATACAATATCGTGTCAACATGTAAATACAGATGTTAGTTATCCAGGATTGACAGATATATTCCACACCTTACATCTCCACAAAGCTGCAGTGTGAATAATCCTTTACCTTCCACCAGTGACTGATAGCCATGTCTTTTGACATTGTTTTCTAGTCAGCATTTGATTGAAAGCTTCTCTTATTTCATCAGTGATGGAGACAGATGGCGACCAAAACCAGGGCTCTACCAATGGAACCACTCCGTCAGGGCTGAACTCCCGCCCCTCTCAAATGAACTCCATGTCCCTGTACGAGAGACAGGCTGTGCAGGTCAGTAACTGTGGGTGTGCGTGCGTGTGTACGGGTGTGCATGCATATGAATGAGTATATTATGTATAGCCTATGCCTTTTTCTGACATGGCAATCCCAAATTGTACTCAGCGTCACACAGGATCATCTGTAATCCTTGCCTGTAGTGTAGTTATCTCATTATCACTGTGTAAGTGCTCGTATATCAACCTGCAGGCTATTGACAGTTCAATGTCATAACTCACTCTCCCTGTTTTCTATCTTGTGCAACTGAAGGCCCTTCAGGCGCTGCAGAGGCAGCCCAATGCAGCACAGTACTTCCAGCAGCTGATGCTGCAGCAACAGATCAACAGTGCCCAGCTACAAAACCTGGCTGCAGTACAACAGGTAAAGAACCATCTTTATGAACCAGCCCTACCAATAATGCATGCTCAGAATAGGGGACATGGCTGCTGTTTTGACATGGTCAGGTTGCGAATGTTTAGGCTATAGGATGACAGTACAATATGTTGAAACATCATCATGAGGTTTGCTACATAGTCCATTTATACTGCTCTAAACTTGACTAGGATAGAGCTTCTGTCCATACAGTATGGCAATGGCTTTTGACATTAGTCCCTGTTGTCCCTGTTCTAGGCCACCCTTGCTGCCAGTCGCCAGTCCAGCCCTCCCGCCAACAGCATATCTCAGACCACAAGCACAACAGTCACATCTGTACGTTTACACATCTATGACAACTAGTAGGCCTGCTACCCAAAATCACTGAGAAGAATACAGCTTCAAAGAGGGCACTCCAGTAATATTGACTTAAAACCACAATTTGCTGTTTGAGCATGTTAATGACATTCTATATATTTAGAATCACTGGCACTTGCATTGTTTTATTGTCTCCAAAATAGTCAATAGAGTTAGCTTTGATTGTTCTCAAATTCACTTTTTTTTCTTTCCGCTTTAGATGAATGTAACCACTTCTGTGGGAGGGGCCATAACCAGCACCCGCGCTATAGGCCCAGGCTCCTCCGCGACATCCACTATAAGCCAATCAGTGCTGCTGGGTGGGAACGCGGCAGGACAGGGACAGATGTATCTGAGAGTGAGAACACATGCACCATTGCCTGATTCACACTATAAGGCCGACCCGAACAAAACTTTGCTGGCTCAGATATTTTCAGCACAGTTCCTATTCCATTACGGTGGATGCATAACCAGGTCAGCACAGTACAGCTTAGGGCTGTGGCGGTCATGACATTTTGTCAGCCGGTGATTGTCAAGTAAATAACTGTCGGTCTCACGGTAACTGACCGTTAATTAACATAAACACATTTAGCATCTCCTGGCTTCCACACATAGCCTACAAGCCACTGATGCAGACCTTTGGAACATCTACATTTAAAAAAGTCTAATAAATCCATGTAATATAGCCTACACCTTCACAATAAATCTATTATTTATTTTAGACGGGTCTAAAGAAACATGATATGAAGAAAATGTAGTCTATTTCAGAAGAACAGAATAGCATACTCAGAGTTGTTCTTATGTTAGGTCCTGATCTGGCTATGCCAAATGGCTGTGGGCTACACTAGTTCATTTAGCAGACAAGATTTGCTTAGAATTCCGTGGCATTATTTTATAGTATGAAGAATACAATTGAACAAAGCTGAATAAAATAGAAAGGATATTTTCTCCAAACGATTTGAGGGAGTGCGCACATGCGGCTATTCTGTGTTGAGCGGTTAACAAAGAAATAGGTATTCCTATACAGTGCCTATAAAGTATTCAGACCCCCTTTTTCCACATTTTGTTGCGTAACAGCCTTATTCTAAAATGGATTAAATAAATACAAATCCTCAGCAATCTACACAGAATACCCCATAATGACATAGCGAAAACAGGTTTTTAGACATATTTGCTAATGTATTACAAATAAAAAACAGAAAAACCTTATTTACATAAGTATTCAGACCCTTTGCTATGAGACTCTGGAAAGGCACACACCTGTCTATATAAGGTCCCACAGTTGACAGTGCATGTCAGAGCAAAAACCAAGCCATGAGGTCGAAGGAATTGTCCGTAGAGCTCCGAGACAGGATTGTGTCGAGGCACAGATCTGGGGAAGGGTACCAAAACATTTCTGCAGTATTGAAGGTCCCCAAGAACACAGTGGCCTCCATCATTCTTTAATGGAAGAAGTTTGGAACCACCAAGACTCTTCCTAGAGCTGGCCGCCCGGCCAAACTGAGCAATTGGGGGAGAAGGGCCTTGGTCAGGGATGTGACCAAAAACCTCATGGTCACTCTGACAGAGCTCTAGAGTTCCTCTGTGGAGATGGGAGAACCTTCCAGAAGGACAACCATCTCTGCAGCACTCCACCAATCAGGCCTTTATGGTAGAGTGGCCAGACGGAAGCCACTCCTCAGTAAAAGGCACATGACAGCCTGCTTGGAGTTTGCCAAAAGGCACCTAAAGGAAACAAGATTCTCTGGTCTGATGAAACCAAGATTTAACTCTTTGGCCTGAATGCCAAGCGTCACATCTGGAGGAAACCTGGCACCATCCCTACGGTGAAGCATGGTGGTGGCAGCATGAGGCTGTGGGGATGTTTTTCAGTGGCAGGGACTCGGAGACTAGTCAGGATCAAGGAAAAGATAAATGGAGTAAAGTACAGAGAGATCCTTGATGAAAACCTGCTCAGGACCTCTGACTGGGGCGAAGGTTCACCTTCCAACAGGACAATGACCCTAAGCACACAGCCAAGACAATGCAGTAGAGGCTTCGGGACAAGTCTCTGAATGTCCTTGAGTGGCCCAGCCAGAGCCCGGACTTGAACCCGATCTAACATCTCTGGAGAGACCTGAAAATAGCTGTGCAGCAACGCTCCCCATCCAACCTGACAGAGCTTGAGAGGATCTGCAGAGAAGAATGGGAGAAACTCCCCAAATACAGATGTGCAAAGCTTGTAGTGTCATACCCAAGAAGACTCAATGCTGTAATCGCTGCCAAAGGTGCTTCAACAAAGTACTGAGTAAACAGTCTGAATACTTATGTAAATGTAATATTTCTGTTTTTTATTTTTAATAAATTAGCAAAAATTTACAGAAACCTGTTTTTGCTTTGTCATTATGAGGTATTGTGTGTAGATTGATGAGATTTTTTATATGTTTAAATCAATTTTAAAATAAGGCTGTAATGTAACAAAATGTGAAAAAAGTAAAGGGGTCTGAATACTTTCCGAAGGCACTGTATGCTTAATTTAGAGTTATTCATGTAACTTCAGTTGTTCTACAAACGTTGCGCTATATGTTTAGATGTTTTATACATTGTAAGGCTGCATGATGCGTCTCTAATGATGATTTGAAAAAAGTTGCTTGAAAAGCATGAGCTCTGCTTTGTTTTTTGCGCAGGCTGTACACACTTCGTCAGTCTCTCGTTCACAATTTGAGAAGCACTTGATAATGCCTCAAATTTCCTGGCGGCATTCCCTTTGTGTGGCCATAATGCACCCTAAAAAAATCCATGCCTTTTGCACCCCTTCTCCCTGAGTGCTGCCTGCTCCTAAGCACTTATCACTCACTCCGCCCTCCATCATGTGATCTGGTCTTTCTCACAGGCTATAAGTGAAGACAGACACATCGGGGACGCAACTGCGCACGTCCTTATCCAATTCTGAGGTGCATATTGAAGATATTGGAAGAACTGTCCACATTTACTTTTTGTCAGCCAACAAGATGAGTAGGCCTAACGAACAGCAAAAGCACTAGCCTATGTCAATCTACTATCCCCCATAGTACAAAAGTTGACCTATTATATTCTGTGTCAGAAATAAATATTCCAAACATATTCTGGGACAGTTGTGGGATGCGATAGATCCCAAATTAATAGAACCACTAGCATCAAAAAATGTTTTACGCATTGTGGCTGACGCAACAGATGAGAACATTTAGCTTTAAATGTTGATAAACTGTTAGGCTATTTCTTCACATTATAAGCGCAGCAATGCGCACACGGCAGTAGGCTATAAGCGTGAATGTTCCATTAGCGGGAAAACGCCATTATCAAAAGTGACCACAAATGCGATTATGCATCTAATGCATTTATTATAAAGGTGAATTATTATGGTGAACATTTTCTTCCCCAAACTTGAAACTCACACGCTGCTTATGTATGCCAGTTAGGCTTTACACCCCTTGTAACGCGGATTAATGTGCTTAATTTTAAGAAGTTATTTGGCCACTTTAGTTGTGATACAAACCTTATCAAAACATATAGGCCTATGGGCTAGGCTACATGATTCAAAAAATAAAAAAGGCATTGTTTCTTGCCTTAAGCTGGGCATCATTCACAAGTGATAATATATAATTCACAAGTGATAAGCTAATATTGTCACCCATCAGACTATTCTTGATTTAATCTTGTCTTTACATATACTAAATAATATATGTGTAAAATTCGTTTTGATTTAGAATGGACCATTATCATGCACCTGTCTCGAAACAGGAGCAGGGGAAAAAATACATGAATTCTCTGCACTTAAATAGTGAATGGAGGACGCTTTTCCTGTGGTTCATTTTCATCCCAGCCAGGTAGGCTATACTCCTGTTGTAAAGATAAGCAATGTGCTTAATATTTGCTTAATATTAGGAAAGTTGAGAAATAAATATAGTAGGCCTAGCCTATAGAAAGCTGATGGGATCCTCCTCTTTTTAGTAGAGGCCATCACTCTGTTTTCTCGCGCAATTTTATAGCCTATAGAAATGTTGCGCAACATGAGCTCATGGGCTATCATGAAGTGCTTGATTAGATTTTCGATTACATTTGCATTGATTTCAGAGTGATTAGAGGGACAATAGAGTGCTGAGTACCAGGCAGTTAGCAAGTTTGGTAGGCTACTAATGACCATCAGCAGCATCAGAGTTTGGAGAAGCCTAATTACCGTGACTAAACGGTCACGTGGAATTTGACTGCCTTCATGACTGGTGACCGCCGGTGTGGCGGTAATACGGTCACCGCAACAGCCCTAGTACAGCTTAGCTTGGCTTGGTTCGGGCTTGGCTCAAGAGTGTGAGTATAGTATCTGCTTTTGTAATTTGCCTCCATGAAAGGACTCTTTGATTGACAGTCTCTTTTGTTGTACTGTAGGTGAACCGATCTCTGAGGGCTCCCCTCTCCTCCCAGCTCATCTTTATGCCTGGTAGCACGGCAACCACAGCCATGGCAACAGTCACCAAGCAGCCACAGACTCAGCAGCAGCAACAACAGGAAGTTACACCTACTTCCTCCAGCAACCAATCAGACAATGACCAGGTATGGATCAACTTTGTATTTGTGACTGAGAACATTGGAGTGAGTCCTGCTTTAGTGATGTAATCTAGAATAGATTGTTCCCAGTTCTGTTGGTGCTGTCTTGCCAGGTCCTGTGGTCATTACAGCACAAACAGATCTGGGACCAGGCAAAATCTAGAATATTTGTGCAGTAAAACTACAGTATTGTGCTCTGAAATTGGTGAAACTCTGGCTTGTACTTCTCTTGCATCCCTCTCTCTGGCCTCTTCTTTCCATCAATCCTCATACACCCATCTCCCCCTTTCTCTCTGGACCAGGTGCAGAACCTGGCTCTGCGATGTCTCTCCAGTCCCAAGGGGGTCGGGGTCAAGACTGAAACCCCAGAGAGGGGTGAAACAGGTGGGGAGTGAAATCGCAGCATACTTAGCCTTACATACTTAGCATACTTCCTTACCTGTTGGTTATTAATTTCCTTCCTCATTCTTGTCCAGCGACCTACTCCCTTATCCAGTCATCTCACCAGCAGTTCAACCAGTCCACTCCACAGTATACCACTAAACCAACCCAACAGCAACAGTCCCACATCAAGATCCCCACCTACATCCAGAGCTCCAACGCCAACCTGTCCTCTCTCAACCTCAAGACGGGCAACCACCACTCCAACGCCCCCTCCTCACCCTCCACCTCTGTCCCACTCTCACAGCTCCTCCTCTCCGGACCCAACTTTGGCCGGGGTGGGGCTATCACCACGGTAACCTCTGCCGCCACGGCGACGCACATTCTGGTGCCCACCTCCAATGCGCCCGCCCAGTCCCACATTTACCAGGTGGGTGCTGCCACCATCAAGCCCAATGTTAGTACTCAAACGCTGGTGGTTCAGCCTCTGCAGAAAAGCACTATTAACGACAAAGGAGGCCATGGGAACGGTCCCGTTCCAATCCAGCCGAAAACTCAACAAGGCCTCCGTATGCCCCTGCAACTGCCATCCCGCAACCCGCCTCCCATCCTCCCCGCACCCCCCGCCAACAATCAGACTATTGCCACCCAGCCTCCGCCGCACATCCCAGTCCAGATAGTAGGGGCCAGGCAGAGCTCCATAGGAAACCCCCAGGCTTTGGCCTTGGTCCAGGCCCGGAACACCTGTTCCCAGGATGGAGCTACCCTTCTGAGTAGCTCCAGCAGCGCCAGCCTCCTCACCATGGTGGCCTCCATCGCTTCCAGAGAGGGAGGGGGGATAAGCCGAGGGGCGGATTTAAAGAGCCTTCAATCAGCCCAAGAAGCCCTCCCATTGGCCCACATCTCTCACGTGCACGCACAAGCCAATCAGAATCAGAGCCCTGGGCTGAATCCAAATCCAAATTGCACCTTGGCCGCCAGCATCTCCTCTCAGTCCCAGGCCTCCCGTTCCTCCCTCACTTTACCCCTGCCTTTGGTTGAGGCGAGCAGCGTGTCCGCTGTAGTGGCTGCCAATGGAGAGTCTATGTGTTCTCAGCCTCCCCAGGTGAGTTGTTCATTACTGATAGCACTGATAACACTACAATTGACTGATGTTTCTAAACTACGTAGTGGTTGTTGATTCCATTTGTGAAATAATGACATTCCTCTCAGGGTAAGTCGATGAAGAGGAAATCCGAGTCAGTCGCAGCCAATGACGAAGATGGTCCCCCTCCTCCCCACCTTGTTCCAATGAGTGAACACTCCCCTGCCCTCTCCTCCTCCGCCATGGAAGCAGGTAAGGAATCAGCTATAAATGGGCCCACTTGTCTTCAATACTTTGCCTTTCTCATTCCTCTCATTTACAATTTTCTACCTTGGCCCAGCCACCAACCTGACCCGTGGATCAATACCTATGCATGATTCCAAAAACCTCACGTTTGCACAGATTTAGCCACTGTGGCCAGGCAGACTTGGTCAAATTGTTCAAAAATAAGTGATCAAATCCTTTCTCTCCCCCCACCCTTCTTTTCTCAAGGCCCTGGTCCACTTTCTCCCTCCCCCTCTCCCTCTCTTTCCCCTGCCCTCTCGGTGTCCCGTATGGGGGGTGGCCAGGGGGAGAGAGCCCCCCCTCCACAGGCTGTGGTCAAACCCCACGTCCTCACCCACCTCATAGCGGGCTTCGTCATCCAGGAGGGAGCTGAACCTTTCCCTGTACATACAGTATTCACCTTGGGATTTGTAGTTTTTGGAGTAGTTGTAGTTCTCATATACAATACAACGTTCATTCATACCCTTTGAGGATATACAGTGAGGGAAAAAAGTATTTGATCCCCTGCTGATTTTGTACGTTTGCCCACTGACAAAGAAATGATCAGTCTATAATTTTAATGGTATGTTTATTTGAACAGTGAGAGACAGAATAACAACAAAAAAATCCTGAAAAACGCATGTCAAAAATGTTATAAATTGATTTGCATTTTAATGAGGGAAATAAGTATTTGACCCCTCTGCAAAACATGACTTAGTACTTGGTGGCAAAACCCTTGTTGGCAATCACAGAGGTCAGACGTTTCTTGTAGTTGGCCACCAGGTTTGCACACATCTCAGGATGGATTTTGTTCCACTCCTCTTTGCAGATCTTCTCCAAGTCATTAAGGTTTTGAGGCTGACGTTTGGCAACTTGAACCTTCAGCTCCCTCCACAGATTTTCTATGGGATTACGGTCTGGAGACTGGCTAGGCCACTCCAGGACCTTAATGTGCTTCTTCTTGAGCCACTCCTTTGTTGCCTTGGCCGTGTTTTTTGGGTCATTGTCATGCTGGAATACCCATCCACGACCCATTTTCAATGCCCTGGCTGAGGGAAGGAGGTTCTCAACCAAGATTTGACGGTACATGGCCCCGTCCATCGTCCCTTTGATGCGTTAAAGTTGTCCTGTCCCCTTAGAAGAAAAACACCCCCAAAGCATAATGTTTCCACCTCCATGTTTGACGGTGGGGATGGTGTTCTTGGAGTCATAGGCAGCATTCCTCCTCCTCCAAACACGGCGAGTTGAGTTGATGCCAAAGAGCTCCATTTTGGTCTCATCTGACCACAACACTTTCACCCAGTTCTCCGCTGAATCATTCAGATGTTCATTGGCAAACTTCAGACGGGCATGTATATGTGCTTTCTTGAGAAGGGGGACCTTGCGGGCGCTGCAGGATTTCAGTCCTTCACGGCGTAGTGTGTTACCAATTGTTTTCTTGGTGACTATGGTCCCAGCTGCCTTGAGATCATTGACAAGATCCTCCCGTGTAGTTCTGGGCTGATTCCTCACCGTTCTCATAATCATTGCAACTCCACGAGGTGAGATCTTGCATGGAGCCCCAGGCCGAGGGAGATTTACAGTTATTTTGTGTTTCTTCCATTTGCGAATAATCGCACCAACTGTTGTCACCTTCTCACCAAGCTGCTTGGCAATGGTCTTGTAGCCCATTCCAGCCTTGTGTAGGTCTACAATCTTGTCCCTGACATCCTTGGAGAGCTCTTTGGTCTTGGCCATGGTGGAGAGTATGGAATCTGATTGATTGATTGCTTCTGTGGACAGGTGTCTTTTATACAGGTAACAAACTGAGATAAGGAGCACTCCCTTTAAGAGCATGCTCCTAATCTCAGCTTGTTACCTGTATAAAAGACACCTGGGAGCCAGAAATCTTTCTGATTGAGAGGGGGTCAAATACTTATTTCCCTCATTAACATGCAAATCAATTTATAACATTTTTGACATGCGTTTTTCAGGATTTTTTTGTTGTTATTCTGTCTCTTACTGTTCAAATAAACCTAGCATTAAAATTATAGACTGATCATTTCTTTGTCAGTGGGCAAACTTACAAAATCAGCAGGGGATCAAATACTTTTTTCCCTCACTGTATACCACCTGATATAAATAATGACATGTACTATAGATTAAAACAATATTATCAATAATTCCCTGTAATCAGTAATGTTGAACACAACACATTTTGTTCCTGTATTTTAATTGACAGGTGAGTGGGCCAGTGAAGGAGGCAGCTGGAGAAGATTTGGCCATGGACAATCCAAACGCCAGTCAGCCTGAGACTGTGAATACAGCTACAGGTTAGGCTCAGACCATAGTCCCAAGTCACGTTTCCATCAAAGCCACTGGTTTGACTACAAACTGCAATTGATGTAGTTCTTTAAACCCCCTTTTTCCTGTTCTCTTCCCAGTGCTGAAGTGTGAGTACTGTAAAAGCTTCGCCCCAGCCAGACAGTTTAGAGGGACTAAGCGCTTCTGCTCATTGACCTGTTCCAAGAGGTACAGTCATAGTACAAATTCACTGCAGTATACTGTATGTCTACTATATGTCATTATTATAAGTCTACTATATGTCAGTATACACTGAGTGTACAAAACCTTAGGAACACCTTCCTAATATTGAGTTGCACCCCCTTTTGCCCTCAGAACAGTCTCAATTCGCCGGGGCATGGGCTCACTCTACAAGGTGTCGAAAAGTGTTCCACATGGATGATGGCCCATGTTGACTCCAATGCTTCCCACAGTTGTGTCAAGTTGGCTGAATGTCCTTTGGGTGGTGGACCATTCTTGATACACAGGAATCTGTTGAGCGTGAAAAACCCAGCAGTGTTGCAGTTCTTGACACACTCAAACCGGTGTGCTTGGCACCTACTACCATACCCCGTTCAAAGGCACTTAAATCTTTTGTCTTGCCCATTCACCCTCTGAATGGCACACATACACGATCCATGTCTCAATTGTCTCAAGGCTTAAAAATCCTTCTTTAACCTGTCTCCTCCCTTTAATCTACACTAACTGAAGTGGATTTAATAAGTGACATCAATAAGGGATCATAGCTTTCACCTGTATTCACCTGGTCAGTCTATGTCATGGCAGGTGTTCCTAATGTTTTGTACACTCAGTGTATGTCTACAATATGTCTCTCTGTTGCTCCAGGTATAATGTAAGCTGCAGCCAGCACTACCGCCTGCGACAGGGGGGTCACCTCTCCCACTCTGACGAGGACGGGGTCCTAAGGAGGAGGGTTCCCCACAGGACCAGCTCCGAGATTGCCAGTGCCAAAATAGCCGGGAGACCCTTACCAGTTAAGGTAATGGTCAGATGATCATTGATAGTTGTACACTTGTTTTTGAGCTGGCATGGATGACTGAAGAGATCTCTGTCACAACTAGAAAGGGTGGAAAGTATGGCGCTTTCTAGATGGGTTAAACCACTAACCCTAATTTAAACGTTTACCTTCAATCCTCAAATAGCCTCAAAATCTGCGTATCAAACTTGCCGATAATGCCATATTTGTCAGTTCAAGCGTGGCCATCTTGTGACTACCTTGTTGCACACGCACCTCTCACACAGTCCTGGTTCATTGTCTACAGTGCCGCTCCGATTCCAGCCGTTCGGAGGACGTCTCCAGCTGCGGGGAGGAAGAGGACGACCCCATGTCCCTCTCCCCGGCCTCCTCCTCTTCCTGCCACCAGCCTCCGCCCACACTCCGATTGGAGGTCTCGAAGGCGTCCTACTTCCTGCCCGGCAGCCCCGCCCAGTGGAGTGTGGAGGAAGTGTCTCAGTTCATATCCTCTCTGCAAGGTTGGTACCACAGAGCTGAGCTCTAAACTGTAGTTCAGTTACTATAGACATCATTAGTTGATACCATCAGCTCAGAAGGATATGCGTTGTCATGCAACAACACCCAAATGCTACTCTGTGGTATCCCTCTATTATTCTATAATGTTGAGGTAGCAGGCCATTGCTATTGGATTTTCACCCTTGTAATTCATGTATTCATGTTATTGTCTTGTTACCGTCCCTCCTTCCCTCTCTCTCTTCCCGCCCTCACTTACTCCCAACCTCCCTCTTTCTCTCCCTCTCTCCTCTCCTCCTTTTCTCCTCTCCCAGGCTGTGAGGAGCTGGCGGCCCATTTCCTGTCCCAGGAGATTGACGGACAGGCCCTGCTGCTACTCAGAGAGGAGCATCTCATGTCCACCATGAACATCAAGCTCGGTCCCGCCCTCAAGATCTGTGCCCACATCAACATCCTGAGAGACTGAGAGGAAGAATGAACGGAGGAAAGGAGAGATACTCCCAAAAGAAAAAGGAGAGAAGGAAGGGATGGAGAGAGAGAGAGAGAGAGGAGGTGACAATATGGCTGTTGAAATACTTTTTAACTGTGTTAAGTGGGGTCCCTGTTGATTTTATTATATTTTGTCTAAACAAACAGAATGAAAGTGGGAAAAATGAGTCTTCTACCCACAAAATGTGGACCTTAAATGTAGAGTATTATGTGAGTGAGTGAGGAAACCCTGTATATGTGTGTAATATTTGCCTATATATTTAAATATATCTTTGTTGGCTGGACTGCCTTTGTTTACGCTGTAGAGAATCATTGTGGAACTTGTGGCCTTTTTAAGTAGTTTCGGCGATCTAAAAATAGTACTAGAACGGAGTCGTCCGTAAAAAAAACAAACTTGTTTCATATCGTTCCTTATTTTTACAAGCCATTATGTATGGTAAGGTCATGTAAAGTAATGGACCATTGCCTTTGCCAACCATTACTGAGGAGTAGCAAATATATTGGCCTAAGGAAACTTGACAAATAGAGGGTGACATTTTCTGTCCGCTGAAATGAGCAAGAAACTCAATTGGTGCACAGGATTTATATAAAAAAACGTCCTTTTTAAAATGTCTATGAAGTGGCAGCAATAATCTATGCGGATCTGAAGTACAGGTATACCCGATCCAAATTATACCATCCCATAGGCTACTGCAGTTTTCCAAATGTATTTCAGATTATATGCCCTCCTGCCTATAGTTTTTTAAGTAAGGTCTTTGCAGTTTTATACATTGAAAGAGCTATTTACAGTAGTGGACAGAAAATGTCACCAAGGTCGTACTCATTGGGCATCAAACGGAAGAAAACTGACTGAAACAGGGAGGGACTACCTGGGCTTATCCAATAAGAATCAGTCATTTTCCTGCTGCGTGCCCTAATGTACATGACCCTGGATTGTAGTCTTCCTCATAGCTTTCCTCATAACTTGTACCTATCCAAGGCTCTTGTTACAGTAGCAGTGACTGTGGCTATTATCAATAATCTTATGATTAGGTGCTCTGCTAATTGTGTGTTTACATTTTAAGCTTGGAGAAGGCGAGGTCAATATCATGCAAAAAAAATAAACCAACTACTAGGACACCATGCAGGAGTGGTAGTGCTTTTGTTTTGCAACTGAATTGATGTGTTGTGTAAACTGAACTTTTATTGTGTGGAATAGCTAGTTGTGCTCTTTACATGACAGTCTTTTGACTGGTTAAGACTTCTGAGTTTGTTAAGGCATATTTGTTAGGCAGGGATCCCAGTTCAACTAAGAAAATAAAGAAAGGATCACTTTGCTTTGTTGAATGACATATGCTTTGAAGGGAAAATCAAATGATGTATGATATACATGTATGATGCATTTTGCATCATCATGATGATGTGGCTGGTGACACTTTGCTTCTTGAATATCTTCGAAACTGCTGACATGCAAAATATTTTGGGACAGTATTAAAAAGTGGACAAATGGGAAAAAAAGACCAGAAGTTAGTTTGAGTGGATTTTCCCTTTAATTTACCTTCCCTGCTGGGCTAACTTTTATTATGATGAGATACTCAGCTATTTCTATTTGATTAAATGGCAGACTGATGGCACTGTGGTTGTTTAAAGGGTTAAAGTGTGAGTGACTACAGTTTACATGTAGAATTATATATCTGCTAGTGTGGAAGAGAGACCCAGGTAGGGCCTTGGAAGACACTGGCATTATAACCTGCAGCAATCAGGGAATGTTCATTTTGTTTTCCATTGTAACCACGTAGATATTCAGTATACACACAGTGGATAAATATATACACTGAGTATACCAAACATTAGGAACACCTTCCTAATATTGAGTTGCACCCCCTCTTTTGCCCTCAGAACAGCCTCAATTAGTTGGGGCATGGACTCTACAAGGTGCCGAAAGCGTTCCACAAGGATGCTGGCCAATGTTGACCCCAATGCTTCCCACAGTTGTGTCAAGTTGGCTGGATGTCCTTTGGGTGGTGGACCATTCTTGATATACACGGGGAAACGGTTGAGCATGAAAAACCCAGCAGCGTTGCCGTTCTTGACACAAAACGGTGCGCCTGGCACCTACTACCATACCTCGTTCAAAGGCACTTACATTTTGTTTCTTGCCCATTCACCCTCTGTATCGCATTCATACACAATCCATCTCTCAAGCCTTAAAAATCCTTCTTTAACCTGTCTCCTCCCCTTCACTACACTGATTGAAGTGGATTTAACATTTTACATAAAAAGGGGATCATAGCATTCACCTGGTCAGTCTATGTCATGGAAAGAGCAGGTTGTTTTGTATACTCAGTGTATTACTCTTTAAATACACAATATACAGCTGCGGAAAAAAGTAAGAGACCACTGCAAAATTATCAGTTTCTCTAGTTTTACAGGTATGTGTTTGGGTAAAAATAACATTTTTGTTTTATTCTATAAACTACTGACAACATTTCTCCCAAATTCCAAATAAAAATATTGTCATTTAGAGCATGTATTTGCAGAAAATGACAACTGGTCAAAATAACAAAACATTTGTAGTGTTGTCAGACCTCGAATAATGCAAAGAAAATAAGTTCATGTTAATTTTTAAACAACACAATACTAATGTTTTAACTTAGGAAGAGTTCAGAAATCAATATTTGGTGGAATAACCCTGATTTTCAATCACAGCTTTCATGCGTCTTGGCATGCTCTCCACCAGTCTTTCACATTGATGTTGGGTGACTTTATGCCACTCCTGGCGCAAAAATTCAATTTGTTTGATGGCTTGTGACCATCCATCTTCCTCTTGATCACATTCCAGAAGTTTTCAATGGGGTTCAAGTCTGGAGATTGGGCTGGCCATGACAGGGTCTTGATCTGGTGGTCCTCCATCCACACCTTGATTGACCTGGCTGTGTGGCATGGTGCATTGTCCTGCTGGAAAAACCAATCCTCAGAGTTGGGGAACAATGTCAGAGCAAAAGGAAGCAAGTTTTCTTCCAGGACAACCTTGTACGTGGCTTGATTCATGCGTCCTTCACAAAGACAAATCTGCCCGATTCCAGCCTTGCTGAAGCACCCCCAGATCATCACCGATCCTCCACCAAATTTCACAGTGGGTGCGAGACACTGTGGCTTGTAGGCCGCTCCAGGTCTCCGTCTAACCATTAGACGACCAGGTGTTGGGCAAAGCTGAAAATTGGACTCATCAGAGAAGATGACCTTACTCCAGTCCTCTACAGTCAAGTCCTTATGGTCTTTTGCAAACCTCAGCCTGACTCTTCTTTGCTTCTCATTGATGAAGGGCTTTTTTTTAGCTTTGCACGACTTCAGCCCTGCCCCTAGGAGCCTGTTTCGAACTGTCCTCGCCATGCACTTCATCCCAGCTGCCGTTTGCCATTCTTTTTGTAGGTCACTTGATGTCATCTTACGGTTGTTGAGTTACATTCGAATGTGTTGGCGGTCATCCTGGTCAGTAGAGAGTCGTTTTCGCCCTCTGCCGGTCTGTAGCTTTGATGTCTCCAATGTCTGCGGCTTGACCTTGTTCTTATGAACTGCCGTCTTTGACATTTTAAGGATGGAAGCAACCTGACGCTCACTGTATCCCTCTGCCAGTAAAGCCAGAATTAAACCCTTCTTTTCCTCACTCAAAACTTTCCTTTTCAACTCTTTTGGCATGGTCAATAGTTATTTTTTGATTAATATTACTTTTGAGGTACTATTAGCACTGTTTTTGCCATCCAGCTGGTCCTATTGCAAGAGGATAGTGATGACCACAGCAGTGGTTTTTATACTTTTCCTCGTTAAATAAGATTTGGTTCATGTGATCACCTAATCAGTACCTAATTCAGTAGAATGAGGTGTGACTGTGTTGGAATTCATCAGACACTGGAATAGAATGGCCGTCATACATGTAGAGATGCTGATTTAAGAAATATTTGCAGTGGTCTCTTAATTTTTTCCACAGCTGTATATACACTGAACAAAAATATGAATGTGTTTACATCCCTGTTAGTGAGCATTTCTCCTTTGCCAATATAATCCATCCACCTGACAGATGTGGCATATCAAGAAGCTGATTAAACATTATGATCATTACACAGGTGCACCTTGTGCTGGGGACAATAACAGGCCACCCTAAAATGTGCAGTTTGTCACACAACACAATGCCACAGATGTCTGAAGTTCTAAGGGCATGTGCAATTGGCGTACTGACTGCAGGAATATCCACCAGAGCTGTTGCCAGAGAATTGAATGTTAATTTCTCTACCATAAGCCACCTCCAGTGTCGTTTTAGAGAATTTGGCAGTAAGTCCAAACGGCCTCACTACCACAGACTACGTGTAACTACGCCAGCCTAGGACCTCCACATCTGGCCTCTTCACCTGCGGGATCGTCTGAGACCAGCCACCTGGACAGCTGATGAAACTGAGGCTTATTTCTGTCTGTAATAAAGCCCTTTTATGGGGAAAAACTCATTCTGATTGGCTGGGCCTGACTCCCAAGTGGGTGGGCCTATGCCCTTCCAGGCCCATCCATGGCTGTGCCCCTTGCCCAGTGATGTGAAATTATTTCAATTGACTGATTTCCTTATATGAACTGTAACTCAGTAAAATCGTTGAAATTGTTGCATGTTGTGTTTATATCTTTGTTCAGTATACTGTATATATGTCCTTATACCTGAGTGTTTCATCAGTCTCTCACATTGTATTGAGGATAGTATGGGGCCTAAAGATAAACAACATTTGGTGTTTTGACATTTGAAACGCTCTTCCAGCAGTCTTCATGATAATGTGAGAAAAGCGACACTGAATTTAGACCTTGATTTAAACGACAAGCCCAGGAGCCAATCAGAGAACAGCGTAATTGTAGGCCTCTCCATATTCCGCCTCCTGCAGGTACTTCTCAATGTCCAGTGTCTCAGGCACTCGAAGAACTGTCCTATTGTTGGCACTCTTCTCTCCTGATTGGAGCTTCCGGATCACCTCAGGCAATGCAGGGCGCTCCTGTAGAGCAAACTGGCCACAGGACTTGATTATGGAATACCTGAAAAAAGTACAGTAGCTTTTGTAACCAATTCTAACTTGTTTTGGTGGTAATCATTGTGGCTATTTCTACCAATGTCAAAGATAAAACTATTAAAGCACTGTTATATTCATGTTTGCTGTGCTATATTAGGTAATTATTAATGGATTATTACTTAATGTGGTCTCTTACAGTGAGTTAGAACAATTAGCTGGTCTCTTCTGAGTCTTTCCTCTTTGGAGGTATTGAAGAAGATCATTGGCCAAGACTTTAGGGAATGGTGGGTCACCTACAAAGTGGAGGATTAAATGATCGATTATTAGGGTGTATGTACATGATAAACATCACAGTTGAAGTCGGAAGTTTACATACACCTTAGCCAAATACATTTAAACTCAGTTTTTCACAATTCCTGACATTTAATCCTAGTAAAAAGTCCCTGTCTTAGGTCAGTTAGGATCAGCACTTTATTTGAAGAATGTGAAATGTCAGAATAATAGTAGAGAGAATGATTTATTTCAGCTTTTATTTATTTCATCACATTCCCAGTGGGACAGAAGTTTACATACACTCAATTAGTATTTGGTAGCGTTGCCTTTAAAATTGTTTAACTTGGGTCAAACATTTCTTCCCACAATAAGTTGGGTGAATTTTGGCCCATTCCTCCTGACAGAGCTGGTGTAACTGAGTCAGGTTTGTAGGCCTCCTTGCTCGCACACGCTTTTTCAGTTCTGCCCACAAATGTTCTATAGGATTGAGGTCAGGGCTTTGTAATGGCCACTCCAATACCTTGACTTTGTTGTCCTTAAGCCATTTTGCCACAACTTTGGAAGTATGTTTGGGGTCATTGTCCATTTGGAAGACCCATTTACGACCAAGCTTTAACTTCCTGACTGATGTCTTGAGATGTTGCTTCAATATATCCACATCATTTTCCTTCCTCTTGATGCCATCTATTTTGTGAAGTGCACCAGTCCCTCCTGCAGCAAACCACCCCCACAGCATGATGCTGCCACCCCCGTGTTTCACGGTTGGGATGGTGTTCTTCGGCTTGAAGCATCCCCCTTTTTCCTCCAAACATAACGATGGTCATTATGGCCAAACAGTTGTATTTTTGTTTCATCAGACCAGAGGACATTTCTCCAAAAAAGTTAGATCTTTGTCCCCATGTGCAGTTGCAAACCGTAGTCTGGCTTTTTTTATGGCGGTTTTGGAGCAGTGGCTTCTTCCTTGCTGAGCGGCCTTTCAGGTTACGTCGATATAGGACTCGTTTTACTGTGGATATAGATACTTTTGTACCTGTTTCCTCCAGCATCTTCACAAGGTCCTTTGCTGTTGTTCTGGGATTGATTTGCACTATTCACACCAAAGTACATTCATCTATAGGAGACAGAACGCGTCTCCTTCCTGAGCGGTATGACGGCTGCGTGGTCCCATGGTGTTTATACTTGCATTGTTTGTACAGATGAACGTGGTATCTTCAGGCGTTTGGAAATTGCTCCCAAGGATGAACCAGACTTGTGGAGGTCTACAATTTGTTTTCTGTGGTCTTGGCTGATTTCTTTTGATTTTCCCATGATGTCAAGCAAAGAGGCACTGAGTTTGAAGGTAGGCCTTGAAATACATCCACAGGTACTCCTCCAATTGACTCAAATGATGTCAATTAGCCTATCAGAAGCTTCTAAAGCCATAATTTTCTGGAATTTTCCAAGCTGTTTAAAGGCACAGTCAACTTAGTGTATGTAAACTTCTGACCCACTGGAATTGTGATACAGTGAATCATAAGTGAAATAATCTGTCTGTAAACAATTGTTGTGTCATGCACAAAGTAGATGTCCTAACCGACTTGCCAAAACTATAGTTTGTTAACAAGAAATTTGTGGAGTGGTTGAAAAACTAGTTTTAATGACTCCAACCTAAGTGTATGTAAACTTCCGACTTCAACTGTATATCCATGAGATAAAAGTTTTTAATTTGTGATGGTTATAACAGTTCAGCAGACCGGTAATGATACATTATTTATTTAGAAAAGCATTTACCTAGTGTCACCATTTCATGGAGCAGGATACCAAAAGACCAGCTGCAAAAACGGAAGGATGGTTGGAGAGATCACTGTCAAATTTTTGTGTAATATGATTTGTCCAATCAGATTTGCCGACTTACACGTCACTGCTTTGATTGACAAGTCTCCTTGCCAATACTTCTGGAGCCTGCCACTTCCTCATCTCAATGTTCTCCAGCTCTCCTGGAGTTCCTGCTTGTGTTTTCCTGCGGTATGCTGGACCCAATCCCCACAGTTTAGCCGTCAGGTCTCGGCCAACCAACACGCTCCGAGCTCCAACGTTGCCATGGATACAGCTCTGACCATGCAGGTATTCCTGAATACACAAATAGAGAGGATGCTGTGTTTTACAATGGCTATGGGACATTCAAGCACATAAAAGCCAAGCATTCAGATGAATCAAGTAGGTAAGGCCAGGAGTCTTTCCTAAACACATGACCTGAGCAGGTAAAACTCTTGGCCCCTACTCATAGGTTCAAATCAAATGCATTTATAAACCCTTTTTACATCAGCAGTTGTCACAGTGCTTATACAGTTCTGAATAAGAATGACGAACATATGCGCTCAACTTGAACTATCATTTTCAATTGTAGACACACTGACAGAGATGGATGGATCATTTGATGGATGGAAATGTATGCACTCACTAACTGTAAGTCGCTCTGGATAAGAGCGTCTGCTAAATGAATAAAATTTTAAAAAATTAAAATGAAAGGGGAGACAGAGAGAGATCAACCAGAGCAGATGCCACTTGTCCTCCCATGGTGAAGATACGCTTCTCTGTGATATTGCATGGGGACTCCCCACCTGTGTCCTGCCAAGAAAAAGCACTGTGAGAATCCATTCACACCATCACTAATGATCATGTCCATATTCACTCTACTGTCTATATGTTCACAGAGTTACAGAATGTTTGCTCAGCCTCTTGAGATCCACGTACAACTTGAATTTTCAGGCAAACCTTACGACAATTCACAATTTACGTAAAAGTTGTGCAGGCAGATCTCTAGCTAAGACCCGTCCCTAACGCATCAGGGTCATATTCAGTATACTCCAGTCCGTAGCAAAACGTTTTGGTGAAACAATAATCTCTCATTGGACAAGTTCAAGTAGGCTACCTCTTCATGTCACTCTGTTTAAAACAGTGTTCTCCCTACTGAACATCCCCAGCTATTTGGCAATGTAGGAGTACCCATAAAGATAGATAGAGGACTCATCATGGATATAAGCCATTTTAGCATGGACATTGCCATTGAGGGCTTCCACCATCCTTCCCCCATTTTAAAATAGTCAACTGGGTGGGGATTCCTATGGGTTGTAGCCTCAATGGCGTTGCCCATGCTGTCACAGATATGAAGATGAGGCCTCTATCTATCTCTATGGGAGTATCATACCTGTCGACACCTCCATAGGAACCCCAGCAGGTCCCTGTGCTCCAGTTCCTCCATCACAGTGATGATGGGGGTACGTAGAGAGAGCACGCCCATCAGACCAGGCAGGAAGGGGTGGGGCCCCAGCTCAGACAGGAAGGAGGCAAAGCCCAGGAACAACTGGCGCTCACTTGCATCAGCTGTCTCTGGAGGAGAAAAGGTGCATGTTGAGATTGACTACATTGCAGTTGGACTGTGTAGAATCACTGATCTACAAATGACCTAACGTCCCTCATAACTACTCAATATGTTATCAAGGTTAGCGATTCTGTGCCTCGCCTTGCTCAAACTGATCCCCTCAAACACACTGAATGTGTTGTATTTTTTTTCTTCAATATCTGGCAGTCATCTACTCATGGGAAATTTTTTAATTTTTGTTATAGGTTGGCCTAGGTCTGTTGATTTGAATATCGAATCAAGATCACAAGATGTCATAGAAACACCAAGACAAGATAACATCCCCAACATTTCAGGTTTTATATTCATATAAGCCTGAAGGTCTTACAATAAACTGACTGTTAGTCTCTGGATGGGAGCGTCTATTTTATAACTCCAATGTATATCAAAGATTGTTACCTTTAAGTGTCCGTAGAACCACGCCTCGGTTGTCCATCCTTGCCCGGTAGAGGGTGACAGGGTCGTTCGGTTTGACAGAGAAGGACAGGGGCAGCGGAGTGACCAGGTTGAAAGAGCCATGCTGCGTCTCCGGTACTGCAGACATGGTGGCTGGGGCATCACGCCGGGTCAGAGGTAACTCCTCATGCTCCAGTGGGTTCAGCTCAGGAGGAGCTGCAGGTAAACAGATGGGTATTACGCATATATTAAATTATATATATGAAATTCCTCAGACCTAGAGATGCAACTCATGCATTATAAAACAAAACATCAGTCTCTGCCTATGTCAGCTTTTTAAAGTAAATAAATACACCATAAGCCAGTAGATAAATATATGCCAGGAGTTTGTCTAGTTTTGGCAAACATTTACATTAAAAGTCTAAAATAAATCATATGGCAATCATTGTGCTTAAGCAATTGACTAAGTACAGTTGAAGTCGGAGGTTTACATACACTTAGGTTGGAGTCATTAAAACTAATTTTTCAACCACCACAAATTTCTTGCATCATGATGTGGGGGTGCTTTGCTGCAGGAGGGACTGGTGCACTTCACAAAATAGATGGCATCATGAGGAAGGACAACAAAGTCAAGGTATTGGAGTGGCCATCACAAAGCCCGGACCTCAATCCTATAGAAAATGTGTGGGCAGAACTGAAAAAGCGTGTGCGAGCAATGAGACCTACTAACCTGACTCAGTTACACCAGCTCTATCAGGAGGAATGGGCCAAAATTCACCCAACTTATTGTGGGAAGCTTGTGGAAGGCTACGCGAAACGTTTGACCCAAGTTAAACAATTTAAAGGCAATGCTACCAAATACCCACTGGGAATGTGATGAAAGAAATAAAAGCTGAAATAAATCATTCTCGCAACTATTATTCTGACATTTCACATTCTTAAAATAAAGTGGTGTTCCTAACTGACCTAAGACAGGGAAGTTTTACTAGAATTAAATGTCAGGAATTTTGAAAAACTGAGTTTAAATGTATTTGGCTAAGGTGTATGTAAACTTCCGACTTCAACTATGTGCTTTACACAGTTTGTAAATCCTTACTGTACTAATGTAGTTCTAGTACAGAGTTAGTCTCGGATATCCCAGACCTTGGAGCATCGTAACCCACTGGGCACAAACTGGTTTAATCAATTGTGACGTGAAATCTAAGTGGAAAATACATTGGATTTGAAAGAGTAATTAACGTAAACTGTTGTTTTGAGGGTGAATTTTAAACCACAGGATCATGTCATCATTGTGACCAATTTTCAACATAGACAAACCTAAAATATGTTGAATTTGTACCTTTGAAACAACGTCAGCTGTTCAACTATATCCACTATCAGAAGAAAAAAACAATAGTCTGGCAGCACCTCCTACTGGATAGTTGATCTACAACTATTAAATTGGTCTCCCATCCAGGGTTTTAACCGAGCCCAGCTTTTATATTTGTCATTGACTACTACCAATGTGCTATCGTGAGAATGATTATTGAGAGACTTTTAATAACCAAATCAGTGGCACTGTTGCTATTCGTCATTCCAATGAGTAGGTTTAACAGAGCAAATGAAATGTACAGTGCATTAGGAAAGTATTCAGACCCCTTGACTTATTCCACATTTTGTTACGTTACAGCCTTATTCTAAAATGGATTATTATTTTTTTTATCTCAATCTACATATTATACCCCATAATGACTAAGCAAAAACAGGTTTATACATTTTAGCAAATTTGTAAAATTAAAAAAACTGAAATATGACATTTACATAAGTATTCAGACCCTTTACTCAGTACTTTGTTGAAGCACCTTTTCCAGCTATTACAGCCTCGATTCTTCAAATCAAATCAAATTGTATTTGTCACATACACGTGTATAGCAGATGTTATTGCGGGTGTAACGAAATGCTTGTGCTTCTAGCTCCGACAGTGCAGTAATATCTAACAAGTAATATCTAACAATTTCAACATATACCCAATACAGACAAATCTAGTAAGGAATGGAATTTAAGAATATATACATATATGGACAAGCAATGACAGAGCGGCATGGACTAAGATACAGTAGAATATTATAGAATAGAATACAGTATATACATATGAGACGAGTAGTGCAAGATATGTAAACATTATTAAAGTGACTTCTTGACGCTACAAGCTTGGCACACCTGTATTTGTGGAGTTTCTCCCATTCTTCTCTGCAGATCCTCTCAAGCTGTGTCAGGTTGGATGGGGAACGTCGCTGCACTGCTATTTTCAGGTCTCTCCAGAGATGTTCGATCGGGTTCAAGTCCGGGCTCTGGCTGGCCCACTCAAGGACATTCAGAGAATTGTCGCGAAGCCACTCCTGCGTTGTCTTGGCTTTGTGCTTAGGGTCGTTGTCCTGTTGGAAGGTGAACCTTTGCCCCAGTCTGAGGTCCTGAGCGCTCTGGAGCAGGTTTTCATCAAGGATCTCTCTGTACTTTGCTCCGTTCATCTTTCCCTCGATCCAAACTAGGCTCCCAGTTCCTGCCACTGAAAAACATCCCCAAAGCATGATGTTGCCACCACCATTCTTCACCGTAGTGATGGTGCCAGGTTTCCTCCAGATGTGACGCTTGGCATTCAGGCCAAAGAGTTCAATCTTGGTTTCATCAGTCCAGAGAATCTTTTTTCCTTTAGGTGCCTTTTGGCAAACTCCAAGTGGGCTGTCATGTGCCCTTTACTGAGGAGTGGCTTCCATCTGGCCACTACCATAAAGGCCTGATTGGTGGAGTGCTGCAGAGAATGTTTTCCTTCTGGAAGGTTCTCCCATCTCCACAGAGGAACTCTGGAGCTCTGTCAGAGTGACCATCGGGTTCTTGCTCACCTCCCTGACCAAGGCCCTTCTCCCCCAATTTCTCAGTTTGGCCGGGCGGCCAGCTCTGGGAAGAGTCTTGGTAGTTCCAAACTTCTTCCATTTAAGAATGATGGAGGCCACTGTGTTCTTGGGGACCTTCAATGCTGCAGACATTTTTTCGTACCCTTCCCCAAATCTGTGCCTCGACACAATCCTGTCTCGGAGCTCTACAGACAATTCCTTAGACCTCATGGCTTGGTTTTTGCTCTAACATGCACTGTCAACTGTGGGACCTTATATAGACAGGTGTGTGCCTTTCCAAATCATGTCCAATCAACTGAATTTACCACAGGTGGACTCCAATCAAGTTGTAGAAACATCTCAAGGATAATCAATGGAAACTCAATTTTGAGTCTCATCGCAAAGGGTCTGAATACTTAGGTATGTTTTTTGTGGACAAGTTAACAAATAATAATGCTCAGCTATGAAAAGCCAAATGGCATTTACATTTTGGTCATTTAGCAGACGCTCTTATCCAGAGCGACTTACAGTTAGTGAATGCATACATGTTTTTTTGTTTTTTGTTTTTTTTATACTGGCCCCCGTGGGAAACGAACCCACATCCCTGCCGGCCAAACCCTCCCCTACCTTGGACGACGCTGGACCAATTGTGCGCCACCCATGGGTCTCCCGGTCGCGGCCGGCTGCGACAGACCCTGGACTCGAACCAGGATCTCTAGTGGCACAGCTAGCACTGCGATGCAGTGCCTTAGAACACTGCGCCACTCGGGAGTCTGAGTTACTCCTGAGGTGCTGACATATTGCACCCTCTACAACCACTGTGATTATTATTTGACCTGTCTGGTCATCTATGAACGTTTGAACATCTTGAAGAACAATCTGGCCTTAATGGCCATGTACTCTTATCATCTCCACCCGACACAGCTAGAAGAGGACTGGCCACCCCTCAGATCTTGGTTCCTCTCTAGGTTTCTTCCTAAGTTCCTGCCTTTCTAGGAGGTTTTTCCTAGCCACCGTGCCTCTACAGTCGTGGTCAAAAGTTTTGAGAATGACACAAGTATTGATCTTCACAAAGTTCGCTGCTTTAGTGTTATGAGATATTTTTGTCAGATGTTACTATGGTATACTGAAGTATTATTACAAGCATTCCATAAGTGTCAAAGGCTTTTATTGACAATTACATTAAGTTTATGCAAAGAATCAATATTTGCAGTGTTGACCCTTCTTTTTCAAGACCTCTGCAATCCACCGTGGCATGCTGTCAATTAACTTCTGGGCCACATCCTAACTGATGGCAGGCCATTCTTGCATAATCAATGCTTGGAGTTTGTCAGAATTTGTGGGGTTTTGTTTGTCCACCTGCCTCTTGAGGATAGACCACAAGTTCACAATGGGATTAAGGTCTGGGGAGTTTCCTGGCCATGGACCCAAAATGTCGATGTTTTGTTCCCCGAGCCACTTAGTTAATACTTTTGCCTTATGGCAAGGTGCTCCATCATGCTGAAAAAGGCATTGTTCGTCACTAAACTGTTCTTGGATGGTTGGGAGAAGTTGCTCTCTGAGGATGTGTTGTTACCATTCTTTATTCATGGCTGTGTTCTTAGGCAAAATTGTAGGTGAACCCACTCCCTTGGCTGAGAAGCAACCCCACACACGAATGGTCTCAGGATGCTTTACTGTTGGCATGACACAGGACTGATGGTAGCGCTCACCTTGTCTTCTCCGGACAAGGTGTTTTCCGGATGCCCCAAACAGTCAGAAAGGGGATTCATCAGAGAAAATGACTTTACCCCAGTCCTCAGCAGTCCAATCCCTGAACCTTTTGCAGAATATCAGTCTGTCCCTGATGTTTTTCCTGGAGAGAAGTGGCTTCTTTGCTGCCCTTCTTAACACCAGGCCATCCTCCAAAAGTCTTTGCCTCACTGTGCGTGCAGATGCACTCACACCTGCCTGCTGCCATTCCTGAGCAAGCTCTGCACTGGTGGTGCCCCGATCCCGCAGCTGAATCAACTTTAGGAGACGGTCCTGGCGCTTGCTGGACTTTCTTGGCCGCCCTGATGCCTTCTTCACAACAATTGAACCTCTCTCCTTGAAGTTCTTGATGATCCGATAAATGGTTGATTTAGGTGCAATCTTACTAGCAGCAATATCCTTGCCTGTGAAGCCCTTTTTGTGCAAAGCAATGATGACGGCATGTTTCCTTGCAGGTAACCATGGTTAACAGAGGAAGAACAATGATTTCAAGCACCACCATCCTTTTAAAGCTTCCAGTCTGTTATTCTAACTCAATCAGCATGACAGAGTGATATCCAGCCTTGTCCTTGTCAACACTCTCACCTGTGTTAACGAGAGAATCACTGACATGATGGCAGCTGGTCCTTTTGTGGAAATGTTTTTTGGGGGATTAAGTTCATTTTCGGGCGGCAGGTAGCTTAATGGGTAAGAGCGTTGTGCCAGTAACCGAAAGGTTGCTGGTTCTACTCCCCGAGCCGACTAGGTGAAAAATCTGTTGGTGCCCTTGAGCAAGGCACTTAACCCTAATTGCTCCTGTAAGTCGCTCTGGATAAGAGCGTCTGCTAAATGACTAAAATGTAAATGTAAAGAGGGACTTTGCAATTAATTGCAATTCATCTGATCACTCTTCATGACATTCTGGAGTATATGCAAATTGCCATCATCAAAACTGAGGCAGGAGACTTTGTGAAAATTAGTATTTGTGTCATTCTCAAAACTTTTGACCACGACTATACATCTGCATTGTTTGCAGTGTCGGGTTTTAGGCTGGGTTCCTGTATAAGCACTTTGTGACATCTGCTAATGTAAAAAGGGCTTTATAAATACATTTGATTGATATTTTGGATTCACATCTCCAACTAAACCAAAAATAAAAGTTAAAGAATAGGATTAAACCAGTGGCTCAGATGAAACTATCCAAGCATTAGATATCCTTTAAATGTTGATATTTGGCTGCATTGTCAACCAAACACAACTCAATATTACTTTTGTAATACACTAAATAGCCTAAAGTTAAGTTATTTTACAAACTAATGTAACAATATTTATTCAACCTTAAAATGAGTAACACATCCATGGCCACATTTAGAAGTTAGCCTACTATAACTAAAAATGCAGGTCTGCTTGCAGGTCTGTGGAGATCTTCACAATTGCTATAATAATCTGTGAAGAATCTTGAACAGCATCGATCACTTACACTATGTAATTTTAATGCAATCTCAACTGCAATCCAGGTCATTTGGTTGTACTATTAGATGAAGCACAGTGATAAGACATTAAGTTGTTGTATAAATAAAACATATCTGACATTGTATTCCCATTTTAACTTTGTTGTGCTTTTAAATGGTTGAAAGCGCAGTGATAACACATTTAGATGACAACTAAACCAAAAATCTGACATAGTATTTCCATTGGAATTTGGTCATACTTTTAGATGGTTGAAAGCATAGTGATAACACATTGGGAATTCAACAAACTTCTGTCTTTTTGATTGGGTGAATAAAGGTTGAAATCTCCATTGATCAACGTCTCAACCAAATATTACCCACATTTCCATGTTGAAATGAGGCAGCAATGGCACAAGGTCTGGAGAGGATGTCGGCTTCTCTATGACATTTTGAAAGCGGAGGGAAAAGTGTTCAGGGGAGGGTCCTTTTCAGACAAACAACTCTCCCAACAAATCATGAGTTTGGGTAGGAGGGGCTTAAAATGTCAGCAGGAATTGTGCTCATGTTTAAATAGGGCAGTGACGTTACCGGTGACGCGCGTCCCATTTCTGACTCGTCCTCTCTGTCCCAACAACTTGTAAAGACGTATTAAGCTGGAGCGTCAATACATTGCAACCCATCTGTCTAGAGAGACTTGTACAGAGTGGGAAGATACAAGTATGCTGACTCATCAGCCAAGCTCATTGGCATTACATCAATGTGCACACCAACTTACCCTCAATGCCCTGTAGGTTCTGTCTGGCACTTCGCCTCTGTGTGTGTCTGCTCGACCTGCTGGTGCTGTGTGGTCGGGCTAGGATTACGCTGGGTCGTCTGCGGATTCCCTTTTCAGGGCAGTACCTCAGCAGGAGAATGATTAGCAGAGTGACCAGGAAGCTCGCAAGGAGCAGGATGGGCACGATGATGACTTCCTCTTTGTACACTGTGACCTCTGAGAGAGAGAGAGAGAGAGATCAATATCAGAGTCATAGAGTATTACTACCATTGGGCACATGAACAAGGCACTTAACCTCTAACCTGCTACAGCTGACCCTGTGCTGCAAAAGGACAACATTTCTGAATCACAATGGGCAGCAATAGAGTGGAAAAGAACCAAAGAAGTATATAATGAAAATGGTTGAGGATGACTATGAAGAAGCTTATTTTTCAATACTATTATTTTTATCTGTCTCCCTGAAATGGTGATCTTTGTGTTCTGTAATGTCTTTGTCAACATTATAGTACATGACACTTAAAAGCAAACAGGTGTGGTCTGGCATTTGTTTTGATAGTCACAAACATGAGTAGGATACACTTGAATTAGCAAGAACAGTACATGCCAATAGGAATGTATTTCAGACACTATTAATTACTGTTTGTCAGTGGTGATTTAGTGCTCCTCATTCCCATCATCTTATTTCATAAGCTACTTACAGTATGTACACTGCCTTCATTTAAAGATCCAATGCAGCTGTTTTTATATCAATATCAAATCATTTCTGGGTAACAATGAAGTACCTTATTGTGATTTTTTTCAATTAAAAATGGTCAAAAAGCAACAAAAATAGCTTCTCAAGCAACAATTTTGCTAGGACTGTCTGGGAATGGTCTGACTGGAGAGGGGAAAACTAGCTGTTATTGGCAGAGAGGTTTGGAACTATCTTTCTTAGTGGTCTATTAAATAATTTACCGCCTGGTGATGTGGGCAGGCAGGCCAAAACTCCATCCCACCAAAACAGGCTGAAATTTCAGGCGGTCTTTTCAAACAGCTCTTACACTAAAAGGACATTATCAAAATGTTCACAATATTATTCTAACCTCGTAGTGTGAAAATATGTTTCAAGCACAGGAAAATCTAGTTTTTGACTGCATTGGGCCTTTAAGTGCACCGGAAATAGCATACTGAAAAAGGTGTAAGTGGTGGTGCAATATGTTTGCGCCACACCTTGTCTGGCTAAGTCTACCTACTGTGTGTCATCCAAAGTAACTGGAATGCTTAAAGCCAATTGTTAAGAACTCAGAATTCTCAGGTGATTCATTCTTCTTGTTCCTTAAAAGCTTCTGGAGAGTCTGAACTCTCTTTCCCCTAACCTGTGCTGCTCTGCGACTGACAATGTAGCTGACAATGCGGCAGACCCTGTACTGTTCCCAGCCTGTCTTGTATGCATGGTGGATCTGAGTACTGTGACGAACACAACACATTTCTGTTATCTCTGTATAACGGATCAAAAAATATTGTATTGTAGTGTTTTATTAGGGCACGCAGCAGAAAACAAAAATGAGTGTTTCTTATTGGACAAATCTAGGTTGTTTCCTTTTTATTTGTTTGGTGCCTAATAAAACCAGCCCCTGTAATCTATATTTCACATGTCTGATGCTATCTACGTTGCATTTTATGTATCCAAAATGTTTTCTAGACGGTTGAAGTGGCTTTATCGTATTGGTTGCAGCTCCTTTGCTACAGCTCTGTTTGGTAAAGGCTGGGAAAGGGAACAAGTTGCCACCCTAGGGAGATTGCCATATTTATTCAATTTGACAAATTATCTTTAGATAAGATCTTGTGTAAAATTGACTGTGATGTTGATCATATGTAAGCACAAATAGAATCTCAGTAAATGGACAACCAGTTTGTGACAATGTTACAGCCCACTTTTAACACTGACAGAAAGTTTGGCAAAACTCCCCATAAATATATCAGTGGACAGCTAGATGTCATATAACCTAGTTAAACATTTCATTATTTCCATAGCATTGTCTATTGCAGTGTTTCCCAACCCTGGTCCTCCAGTACCCCCAACAGCACACAGTTTTGTTGTAGCACTGGACAAACACACCTCATTGAGGGCTTGATGATTAGTTGACAATATGAATCAGGTGTGCTTGTCCAGGGTTACAAGAAAAATGTGTACTGGTGGGGGTACTTGAGGACCAACGTTGGGAAACACTGGTCTATCGAATCTTAAGATACCAAGTTCATGGAGTGTTTTTAGTCAATGCCTTTGGCTTGGAGACCCAACAGCTAGTGGACATAAGTTGTAGAAGGGGCAAGACAAGGCGACACAGGAGAGGTAGAGAAAAAGGATAACGAGAGAAGAGTTGCGAGAGGAGCACTTACCACAGATGGTGTCCCCCGGTTGACACTGATTATCAGCATCAGAGTAGGATGACATCCTGAGGAGTGGGAGCACACACACACACACACACACAGAGATATCATCATTAGATTACCACCGGTCAGCAGCCTCATAAAGCCCTCGGCTGTAACGACACAGCATGGAGTGTCCAACACCTTCTACTGTCACACAAGACACATGTAATGACATCTGGAGTCCATTTTCTCCATCTCAAAGCCAGTTCCACTGCATTTTTTCATTGTTTCCCTCTAATCAGGGACTGATTTAGACCTGGGACACCAGTTGTGTGCAATTCATTATCAGGTGGAACAGAAAACCAGCAGGCTCCGGACCTCTTAGGGTAAGAGTTGAGTACCTCTGATCTAGGCTAATCAACCCTACTTTAGGGGAAAGGAAAAAGACTGTACAGTTGTACACTTGTCATGAGCCGACTAGGTGAAAAATCTGTCGATGTGCCCTTGAGCAAGGCACTTAACCCTAATTGCTCTTGTAAGTCGCTCTGGATAAGAGCGTCTGCTAAATGACCAAAAATAAAATAAAAAATAAAATAAAATAAATACAATTTCCATGCTTACACTTTTTCCCAATCGATAACGATGACAATGTGAGTATTTTGAACCCTGGTACATGTATTTGTTATTCCGTGTACATATGTTTTGACAGTGCTAGTATCACTTATGTAATCTGAGATATTTCTTTCTGAATGAATAACCTAGATTAACTCTAGATATTGGAATCCCAAGTAACTATGGTATCTGGGTAGATCTGATGCTAAGGCAATTTAAGGTACAGTAGTGTGACTATGGCTATAGTATAATCACAAGAAGAAGGTAATATTGATAGCTCCGCAGGGGGCGTCCAATATGGCACCAACTTGGCAAGGCTAGAGTGTTAACCCACGCTTGGCATTTGGGATGTGTGTCCTAATCACGTAAAACCCTGGATGGGTTGGGCATGCCGGGTGTCATGTAAAAATCTTCCCAGGGTGAAATGGTTCCCAATCGTTGTGATTGTGACGTCATGTTGTAGAAAATTTCACAGCGTGAAAATGTTCCTAGTCAATAATTGCACGCGCGTCAGTGTGGATGGCTGAACTCGTGTAAATATTTCTCTCCCACCCCCTCGCCCTTGATATAGCTAGCTAACGAGCATAATTAGCTGTAAACTGGTCGAGATGGGTTGTTCTCAGAGGTGTGCAGTTTTAACTTGTTTGTACAGTATAGCAAACAAACATGCACTGTCAATCGAAAACATCGCACCCAAGTCTTTGCAATCCCAAAAACTCTCCTCACATCAACCCTCAGCACCGTGACGCGCGAGTCCGGGTATTTATATGCAGACCTCACTCCTCAACAAGCTTCTGATTGGTCAGTCAATAATCATGGCCACCATTGATTGGCAGATGTGTGAAGCAAATGTGCGTGCCAACAGAATCGTTTTTTGAGGTCGAGGGAGGGTGTGAGAGAAACATCCGCACGAGCTCAGCCATCCACAAAGAGATGCGCGTGCAATTATTGAACTGTGAACATTTTCACGCTGGTAGAGATTTTACAGCATGACGTCACAATCAGAACACGATCAGAACGATTGGGAACTATTTCACTGGGAAGATTTTTACATGACAGTGCCGCAGCATTGGTGGTATTCAGGCCTGGGTACAGTACAGTATGTTACATTCAACTACATAATTTATAGGCCTCATTATCAAACACAGTCCGACTTTTATTGGTCACTATTCATTCTCTGATGACAAGTTATTTTCACATGATTTGGGCATGACATTTGAAAAATGCTAAGACAGACTGGCTGGATGACTGACTAGTATTCTCCAATTGAATTGTGGATAACCTCTTCCTACCAACAGTGAAAGTTGACAGAATATCATTGTTCAAATTCAGTAGGCAGGTTCAGGGCAGGTCAATGTGAGAATTAATTATTAGGGGCTAGATAGTAGGAAGAGACTGTGCTTGTGTCTGAAATGACACCCTATGCCTTATAGAGTGAGGGAAAAAAGTATTTGATCCTCTGCTGATTTTGTATGTTTGCCCACTGACAAAGAAATGATCGGTCTATAATTTTAATGGTAGGTTTATTTGAACAGTGAGAAACAGAATAACAACAAAAAAATCCAGAAAAACGCATGTAAAAAATGTTATAAATTGATTTGCATTTTAATGAGGGAAATAAGTATTTGACCCCCTCTCAATCAGAAAGATTTCTGGCTCCCAGGTGTATTTTATACAGGTAACGAGCTGAGATTAGGAGCACACTCTTAAAGGGAGTGCTCCTAATCTCAGCTTGTTACCTGTATAAAAGATACCTGTCCACAGAAGCAATCAATCAATCAGATTCCAAACTCTCCACCATGGCCAAGACCAAAGAGCTCTCCAAGGATGTCAGGGACAAGATTGTAGACCTACACAAGGCTGGAATGGGCTACAAGACCATCGCCAAGCAGCTTGGTGAGAAGGTGACAACAGTTGGTGCGATTATTCGCAAATGGAAGAAACACAAAAAACCTGTCAATCTCCCTCGGCCTGGGGCTCCATGCAAGATCTCACCTCGTGGAGTTGCAATGATCATGAGAACGGTGAGGAATCAGCCCAGAACTACACGGGACGATCTTGTCAATGATCTCAAGGCAGCTGGGACCATAGTCACCAAGAAAACAATTGGTAACACACTACGCCGCGAAGGACTGAAATCCTGCAGCGCCCGCAAGGTCCCCCTGCTCAAGAAAGCACATATACAGGGCCGTCTGAAGTTTGCCAATGAACATCTGAATGATTCAGAGGAGAACTGGGTGAAAGTGTTGTGGTCAGATGAGACCAAAATCGAGCTCTTTGGCATCAACTCAACTCACTGTGTTTGGAGGAGGAGGAATGCTGCCTATGACCCCAAGAACACCATCCCCACCGTCAAACATGGAGGTGGAAACATTATGCTTTGGGGGTGTTTTTCTGCTAAGGGGACAGGACAACTTCACCGCATCAAAGGGACGATGGACGGGGCCATGTACCGTCAAATATTGGGTGAGAACCTCCTTCCCTCAGCCAGGGCATTGAAAATGGGTCGTGGATGGGTATTCCAGCATGACAATGACCCAAAACACACGGCCAAGGCAACAAAGGAGTGGCTCAAGAAGAGGCACATTAAGGTCCTGGAGTGGCCTAGCCAGTCTCCAGACCTTAATCCCATAGAAAATCTGTGAAGGGAGCTGAAGGTTCGAGTTGCCAAACGTCAGCCTCGAAACCTTAATGACTTGTAGAAGATCTGCAAAGAGGAGTGGAACAGAATCCCTCCTGAGATGTGTGCAAACCTGGTGGCCAACTACAAGAAACGTCTGACCTCTGTGATTGCCAACAAGGGTTTTGCCACCAAGTACTAAGTCATGTTTTGCAGAGGGGTCAAATCCCTCACTGTATAGTGCACTACTTTTGACCAGAGCCCTATGGGCCCCACTACATAGTGTATAGGGTGACATTTCAGACGCATCCCCTGTTTTCGTTAGTCACCACAGAGATAAAGCAACAACTGGTTGTATAGAACAAGTAGAGGCCCATTGACAGTTCTCCGGACATTTGTTTCTTAAATGGAACTACATTTGAATCAACTTGAGAGGACAGCGAGTGGGCCAATTCTCTTTCCTCTTGCTTGAGGATAGATTTACTGCTGTGCAAATGTAAATGTTCAAAATGGTAAAAGTTATCAAATACTGTCACCTTAAGAACCAGTTCAATTACGCAAGTTGTGTTGTTTATACATTCATATTTAGGATTATAACACTATAATACCATTATTTACTTACAGCATGGCTGCCTAGCTTGGGGGACCTGTATTTACTCAACAATGTTATATCATTGTCTTGCCAAATTATCATACAAGACAACAAGTTGACAATGGTAGAAACAAATTGGCACCCACGCTATGTCCATCTTACCTTACTTTATTTCAGGTCACAAGTTCAACCTGTCTAAAAAAGGATAAATCAAATGAAAAGTGATAAACTCAACACTTGAAGGTCACCTGTTCCCCTCTCATCCACAGTATCGTATTTCATAATCGAGCGTGACACTCAGTACTACTATCTACCTGGATGTGGTTATATCTGGTTATATACAGGCTTAGGGTGTGTTGTTAGGAAGCACATTCTGACAGCATTTCTGCGTTTCCCTCCCTCACCTCTTTCCAAGTATGTTTGTGTCACTCAACCAGTCTAGCAGCATTGCTCTTTGACATGCACTTCTCACACACAACCCCACACACATACACACCCAGCATATAATACTAAACATGGAACTTTTAGGTTTCAATATATTTTACCTTGTATTTTAACCGACAATGTATTCTACCCTTTATTTGAACCATAAGTGTACATTTCTTCACTCATTTTATTGTGTCAACTTACGTGGCATGCTCCCTGTGTAAGGCTGAATCTCAATTATTGTGTAATGGTATTAATGTCTTCAGCATCCAAAGCTTCACGTTTGATATTAACCATCGTCTGTCACACTCCATTGTATTATAATCCCCATGTGATAATTCCAGTTTGTGCTATTTGCCGTCTCCCACTTTCCCAGCCTCTCTGTCAGTCTCTTTCTTCTGTTGTTGTGCGTCTCTTTCCTCATGTCTCTCTGCTTTGTAACGATCACAGGTTAGCCCTGCCCTCTCCTGCACCTTTTCCTCCTCACCCTTATCACCTGCTCACGGTCTGTTTTTGACTTTTGGTGTGTGTCCTTTAGTGTGTAAAGTGCTACAGTGTGTGGGTTTTCAATGCCCTCACAACTATCTCAAACTATTTTAGTCTCCTCCTTATCACCTGTCTCCATCAAAGGTCGAAGGTCAAAGGTGTGGTCGATTCACAGTGTCTCAAAGTGGCCAGTCTTGGCTTGAATGCCAACACCTCCCATTTCCATTACTTTTCTCAAAGTGAAACTGCTCTATCCATCCCTGTCAACAATCACAGGCACTGAGGGCATTGGGGAAGTAACTTTGGTAGTATCAGCCTTTTGGTGCACTGTCACTGTAGCTCTTGAATGA